GTTGTTGTATTTGGACAGTGTTTTGCATTACGTTTTATCAAAAAGAAAGTTAAAAGGTCAGGGGTTTCATTTTTTATCTGTACAAAGATTCAACCCCAAGAAAAAAAAATATTTTTCATCTGTGACTCGTCTTCTTTTCCATCATAATAAAGATCACCCCCAATACATTTTAACTGATAGGTATCAGTAAAGAGCTTTTTTGATGATCAATGGAGGAATAATATCTCTCTTAGTAACCTTCTCATGACAGAAAGAAGCTGAACAGCATGTCAGGAAAAAAACATTCCACTGTTTGCAGTTTCTCAACTGGAACAGCAAATATTCCCCCTTCTAATGAAAGGGTGAAAGCAAGGCGTTTAGCAGCAAAAGACTGCTTATTTAATTTTATTCCTGAGAGTGCAGACTTCTTCTCTTGTCACACCAGACTGTGTTTCACTCTTCCTTGAGGAATTGATGCTGTTGAAAGACATATACTAATGATGATAAATTATTTAACTGAAAGAAGCCATTAACGTGATATTAGCCACTGCACATCAAAAACATTCTACACTGTTGTCAGTAGTTCTGAACATATTCAATGCACTTTATACTCTGAATGTTCTACATTTAAAGGGGGAAAGGGAAATAGCATGTGATGATACAAAACAAATTCCAGTAAAAAGTGATGTAATAGGCTTACAGTACAAAACTTGCTCAGTGAACTACAGTCATGCATTGTGTATTGCTTAAGGAAATAACACTTTAAGAAATGTGCAAAAACATGGACATGAAACAAAATATGGTGAGGCAAAGGTTTCAAAAGAACCATACACACATATTTTTCCTATTATATCCTATTAATTTATTGGAAATGCTTTTTTCGAAATTTAAGAAAATTGGTTCTTTACCAATGTACTGAGTGTTATATTTTGTTCATGCTGCAAATTATAATATTGATGAATAATAGCTACAGCAAAACATTTAAAGAAAAACTTAAAAGAGAGTTTAATGGATGGTATTTATTACTGGCATTTTACTTCAACTATCCTCAGATAGACACAGATGTATGCATTGTGAAACAGACATAGCTAATTAGTCCTATAATTCAAAGGAATTGTTTGCTCTTGAAACACACCATACCTTGAAAAGCCACATCCTTGTAAAACAGACAGCTAAATTACTGAAATTGAGTTTTTTGGCATTTCGAGTCATATACATTTCCTTTCCATTAATTTTGTCTTCAAAGCTTTTAATAGTGGAGATTTTCCTTCAAAAACGTTTTACTTATGATTCCAACCCAGATGAAGAAAATACATACATTTCTATACATACCGTATCCAGCTGTCCTGGGATAATTCTGGCTACCCTTCCTTGCCTCGTGTTCAGCACACAAATGTCTTTGTGGTAGCATACCAAAAGCACTGTATCAAAAGCAGAGGTAGACACTATATTTTTAATGAAGCCTCCAAAAATCATCTACAGGCAAAACATAAATCATACAATGAGAACAAAAGCTCAATTTTAATAGAAAAGAAAAAAAACAGTACAAGGCACACTCACAAACTTGGCTTATTTATTCAGCTGTAGTTTTACATCAATGCGACTTTTTAAATATATCTGGAATTACACTTCTGCACGTAATATAAATTAACACCAGGGAAAAAAATACTAAATAAATAGGAGAGCGTTATATTAGTGTTTAATTTCCAAAACTATTTTAGTTGGCACTTAGGTATGGTACATAAAATGGGACTGACTTCTCTGCTGAAATTCTTCCATGGGTTTCTTTTACCTGCTCTTGCCTAAGAGGATTTCTCTAATAGGCACATTGTTCAGAGTAGATGACAATTTTTTTTCAAAACCGAATCTGCTGTTTTTTTAAGAGGTTACTAGGTCATACCATCTATACGATATACTCCACTGGTAAAGCGATAACACACTGTACAAAAATATTCAGAGTTAAATGTACAGGTCACCGGTGCAGATAAAGGTTAAAATCTTAAAATGAATTTTCCATCCTGGATGCAGTTAAAACTGGTGTTATAATAGACACTTGTAATATTTATTGTTTTATATTTAATTTGAATATTTATCTAATATTTCATAAATAATTAATATTTCATTAATAATTAAATAGCACTAACATTTAATTTGATGCAAAAACACTCAATATTAAATTAACATTGTATTGTTTGGAGGAAAGGTCCTGTTCTACATCCTCTTGGATGGATGAAACAACACTGATTGAAGATATAATCCAGCATCTTTTACCAGCACTGAAGATGCAATGGAATTAAAATTACACTTTAAAAACAAAATGATCCATCACCGCAGATAGGTGGGAAAACGCTGCAAAAGGCCATAAACCTCTCATTAGTTTCATTCTCAATTAAGCGTGAAACTTTCTTTGTTTACTTGAATGAGCACATGCAGAGCTAATGGAAGAGCTTTGGTGTTGTCTAAAGTTTGGCTCACAGTATGAATATGGCAGCACAGAAGAGTCCATCAAGTTATATAGCATATGTAGACATGCTCAACAGACTTTGCAAATCTAGGACTAGAGCATATGATGGATTAGAAATGTTTAAAGGGTTTTGATCCAGTTAGGTTGTGTTGTATAATGTAAATGAGACTGTAATGTTACAATCTTATGAATCCATGATATGCTTCTCAAAAACTATGTTCTTCACAAAATACTGGGTACATGGAATAAATTCCCCAGCCAAAACGTACACTCTTTGGCATCTTTCATAAATTGGTGGGATACGATCCCAGAAATTGTTTTCCGAATATTTCTAAAAAATATGCCAGGGCTTCTACATCCCAACAGCATTCTGGAACAATGGTCATAACAGGATAGCAGATGGATACGACTGATTCTTCTACAGCCTGTCTGGAGTAAAGTTTAATGACTACTTATTATCAATTTAGCTGTAAATAAGGCAGTGATCCATTGTTTATTTATTAAGTTGGCATATGTTACAAAGAAAGAAAGTACAATATTATACGATGATAGCATTTGCTAAATGTATTAGTAAACTAAAATAATGTATGTTAAGAAGCTCATTATATGTTTCTGTTATACATGCATAGGCAGATAAATGGAATATTTTGGAATCTAGAACTGATTGCATTTTATGCATATTTGCACAGCATAGAGCATTTCTCTTCCACAAGTTTTAAAAAGTTGCAGAATATTACACTTTGTGTGGTATAGTTAATAATAACTGTATGCATGTTTTCCTACAGTATGTACATAAAATACATGATAAACATTACAAATAAGCTCTTTCCAAAAGTCTTTCCATCTTAAGCTTGCAATGCTGTAGCATTCCGGGAAGAGTCATTCAAAGCTTGAATGACAGCTTGCTCTGTTTTTCTACTGATAGAGCTTAATTTCCTTTGGGTCTTGAACTGCAGGAGGCTTGGCATTGCTGCATCACAAAAGCCAGTGTGTACGAACCTATAAAAGTTGTGTCAGTTGCAACGGCCAAACTCTCTTTAACCTCACTACAGGACAGAGCAAATGTGTTTTTTGTATGCTTTGTAAACCCTTTTAGGCTTTCCATATGCCCTTGGATTATAAGAGTGCTTACTTTCCAAATAACATATTTCTACATCTAATATTATGAAAATATTTTTGTCACAACATACTGAATGATATCTACTTTGAAATGATCCTGTCTTGAAAGCATATTCTCTTCCCTGGAGTGCCGTCTAGTAGGGTGCTAGTAGTTCTGTAAGCTCTTTTCTTAACATTGACCTTCAGTCTCCAATACTGTACATGCTTCTCTATTGTATTAGGTAACTGATGGTTTGCTTGCCACGAATGAACTTGGTATCCCTCTACTGGATTTGCTTGTAATACTTTGCCTTAATTAATAGCCAGTTCATTGTAAGAATTATTTTAAATTCTTAGAATTATACAATATAAGTGACAAATTATTTGCTAAATAACTTAAGCAGTTATTGGGTATGAGTAAAATAATCCCAAGACTCCAATATATATGTATTAGTTATAAATTTATAGTTAAGTGCAAGCCAATGTTATCAATGTTATCAGCCAGTGCATAGAAACCTCTAGCATTTAAGGTCCCAGAACAACATTTAACAATGTCGATGGCCAGTGAATTTCAATCTATCAATAAATAATTTTCAGTTTTGACTAACAGAATTTGCTTTCTGTTCACATTTCAAAAGGTTAAAGTACTGTATTATATTTCACCTAACATTTTATTAACATCCTGGAAATATTTGATCAAATAATGTAGTTGTTCTAATTGCTTCACCTTCAGAAAAAAATCAATATTGCCTGTAATGTGAAATGATAGTAATATAAAAGATTATTCTTGCTCAACCTGTATCCCCTCGGGAGAAAATAGAAAATATTAGTAAATGGAACAAACCTATCGCGTCACACGTATAAGACTATCGTAAAGATTAAGTGTTTTTAGAAGCCCTTTGCTTTTAAGCAAAATATGCTACAGAAATCATGAACGTAAAAATTCAGAGACAAAACTAGCAAGTCGTAACACGGGTTTGGAAAATATTTCCTCTTCAGTACAGTTTGGGAATTGTAACTATTTTATGTGGAGATAAACGGATAATACATTTTGCATTAGAAACGTGAATTTGTGTCATGTTGTGACAGACATACCTGTTCAAAATAACAAATGTTGACGGATTCTTATCCCCAACTTTATCTCGGTAAACAACTGGGATGCCAGTTGTTGAAAAATCAGTATAACAGCCTTTGTTATTGCTCCTTAGCTCCAGTTGTCCAACATGTCAGCTTTATCAGACCTTCGTTGTTAAAAACTGGTGAACAGAAAGCAAATGAGTGATACTGAAGAACGTTTACTTAACTATATTGAAAGTTTGTAGCAGAAAAGTTATTGTGCACAAATACCTGATCCTGACAGCGTGACCGTATAAAAAAATGGACCAATCGATTAGTGGTCTTCCGAACTTAACTCCTCCCTCCTTCATTAACATTAAAAACCTCAAGAACCCCCTTTTCATTGCAGCCTCCAGCAGCATCTAGGAGCCACTTATCTGGAAAGACTTAAATAATTAAAGGGGGCTATTAAATCTAATAGATGTCGTTAAAGCCTCTCGTTGTAAAACCTGAAAACTTTGTGTAAAAGAGGGAAGCAAAGATCATTTTGAAAATCCTTTACATACTCTGACATAAACCTGCAAAGATGCACATTACATATATAATGATTATGGCAATGGCATTCCCTGTTTGCATGGAAGCGATTCACGGGATGTACGCTTTCGGTCAACCCGAACTGTATTACAAAAAGAACAACTGCAAACCCATTCCTGCGACTCTTCTGCTGTGCAACGACATAGAATACACCGAGATGAGACTGCCAAATCTGCTGGGACACGAGACCATGAAAGAGGTCCTCCAGCAAGCGTCATCTTGGATTCCTCTGGTCCAAAAGCAATGCCACCCGGACACCAGGAAGTTCCTCTGCTCTCTCTTTGCCCCCGTGTGCCTGGACGATTTAGACGAGCCCATCCAACCATGCAGATCGCTCTGTGAGAGCGTGAAGCAAGGCTGCGCTCCGGTGATGTCTGCCTTTGGCTTCCCATGGCCGGACATGCTGGATTGCAGTCGCTTCCCCCTAGATAACGATCTCTGTATTCCTCCGGCCAGCATCGATAGTGTTGTACCAGCAACCAAGGAAGGTAAAATAATATTACTTTTTTTTTTAAAAGAAAGTAGAAAATCTTTACCTGGCGGTGAGCGGAACGTGTGCTTAAGTACACACAAAACTTGTGTACCTCACCATTTTAAAAGTCACGAAATAGAGAAGTCAGGTTTGCAGTAAAATCTATAAATGTGGGAAATTGTATAAACAATTGACACTGTTTAAGACTATGTAAAGGAGTTTTAATGGTGGGTTTTGATATGATATATCATGTTAACAGTATAAATGACGTTTCTTTAAAAATGCCCACTCCAGTAGGTGACCTACCTCCTAATATTGAAGGCTGTAATTATAATTTATTGGATTCGCGCATGTTAATATTAGTACAAAACGTCACGGTTTAGTGTAACTGAATTATTAAAGAATGATCTATTTGTCATATTTTAATTGATAACTTTTTATAGAAGTCGTTTTAAGGCTGCACATTCACGGTGACTTGTCTGATCTGTAGGAACTGGACAATCTATGCATGCCCTCTACGAAGACAGTAGAGTGGTTCGTATATGGTTTAGGAACAGGAATTATTATTTTTTGTTAACATCCCATCTGTGATAGATCAGCATTTCGCCCACATTATTTGGGGGAAATTGCCGTATCAATGTGATTTATTGAACAGGATCTCTCATACGTTGGAACTTTTTTCCAATTAGAGCTCTTTCTGACAGTAGCAGTTAATTTCAAGGCCAATAGGGTGCCATTTTCAGTTGAGCATTTCACCGAGATTTCCTTCTGGAGCACCAATTTTTAATTGGGCTGTTTCCCTAAAGGGAAAATAATTAACAACATAAAGGACACTGTCAGTGAACTGTACTTGTAATTCTAAATATTCTGCGGTCATAACTGTGTTATTGTACATTAAATACGTAGACAATTTTAAATAACAGAATGATCAAATGGTCAAGAATTGCATTACATCCACTGAATATATTTCCTTAAACTGTGTATATAAATGTGTATATAACGCCTCCTGCTGTCTGATTGTGAAATTACGTTGTTGTCCCCTGTATCTACTTGGTTCTCGAGTTTTGCTACTTCAAGATTCATTTATTTCAGCGCCGAGGGTGTGTGATGCTTGCAAAGACAGAGAAGAGAACGACAACGAGATTGTTGACAACCTTTGTAAAAATGACTTTGGTAAGTTCCCATTCGTTAAAATAACCCATAGTCTTTTTTTTACCAAACTGACAATACAATCAAGTCTGCATGGCAAATACAAATCAAGCCCGAGAGCAACAAAAAAATCGAATTTGTAGAGGAGGTTAATTAAATAAAATTGCGGAAATATTTATTACCAATACTTAGAGACCAATACAACTTGAATATGGCATGAAAATGCGTTATGTGAGTTGTAGAAACCATTTCATAGGTTTTTAAATTTAAATTTAAAACCAGCAAATTTTAGTTATGCGTGAACTACCTTTTTTATATAAACTACCTCTTTATTTTTAGTTTTATTCATTTATTTTTACGTTAGTATACGTATGCAATTCTGTACATAATATAAATATTGGTACATAATGTAAATCATAAAAAAACTTTAGTACGATCAAAATAAAATGTCCTCTACTAGGCTCTAATTCTTTCCTTGCTATTTATATAGTGTTTTAGATGTTTTATGTTTTATTTTTTAAAAACTTCAGAGAGTACTGTTGGGTGTTAATTTTTGTACTGTACTTCATTGTATTTTAAAGTTCTGCAAATGAATTAGAGACGAAAGCAGATTCTTTTTAAGTAAGAAAACGACAATTGTTCAGCAGTTAATTGAATTAACGCTCAACAGTTGAGGTATCTTGTTTAACCGGACTTAATCGGCTTTTCTGTCGGATCTCATTGTAGATCCTTTATCATGTTGTTGAATTAACAATACATCAAATACCCGTTTCTTAGAATTTTAGAAAGTTTGGAGGGGCAGTGAGCCATTCCTTTCTCTTTAAGCGTTTGTGCTTATCTACTTGATTGTTTTTTAGAAGCTATACCACGGAATGCGCCAATAGCAGTTTAGTGGGTGACCTCTTTAGTTTACTGGGAATTTAACCACCTGCTGTTTTGGAGGAAGGGCTGAAGTGTCATTAGCAATTATTCTGATTTTCAATAAGTGACTTATTCTCTTGTTTCTAACACCCCCTGCTTGTCAGCTCTGAAGATAAAAGTGAAGGAGATCTCATACATCAATGGAGACACCAAAATCATTCCGGAGACAAAGAGCAAAACCATCTACAAACTTAATGGGGTGACCGATCGGGAACTTAGGAAGACTGTTCTCTGGCTTAAAGACGGCTTGCGGTGTACATGCAATGAAATGAACGACATCAACGCTGCCTATTTAGTGATGGGACAGAAGCTCGGTGGGAATCTGGTCATAACCTCTCTGAAAAGATGGCAGCGAGGCCAGCGAGAGTTTAAAAGAATCTCTCGCAGCATTCGCAAATTGCAGTGTTAATTAGGCACAGTACGTCCCTCCCCTTTAGCAATAATAATCCTTCTGCACTTCTGTAACACTTGGCAGGCTCTTTAGCACGGTTCACGTATAATTAATTACCAGATTTCTTGTGTTCATGAACAAAATCCCAGCACAAATACAGATTTACTGTATAGTGAAAACATCAAGCTTGTCACAAATTTAGTTTTATTCAGTTTGGCTTAAAACTGCATTTTTGAAAGTCTAGGTAACGAATGTGATATATTTTTTCTAAGATGTTGTAAGATAAAAGTTGGGAAATAGCTGGCTATATTCTCATATACAGTAGCCAGAAGGCTACTCAGAATAGTGATTGCAATCAGGAATAATTTTATCCCTTAATGTGGTTTTGATTCAGTTCTAGGCAAAGGATAGTTCTTAAAATTAAACCAATTTGTTAAAATATTATATCCTGTTTGTGATATACAAAAAGACTCAAATATTTCAATAAAATTATCATGATAATGCAAGGTATAATTTTGTTTAAACCTCTTTACTTAAAATTGCTAAATATTGTATAGTTCTTTATTTTAAATAGCACCTGGACTCGGAAAATTGATGGTATTTTCTTACAATCCTTAGGTCTATGGCTAATCTCTTAGCACATATGATTCACAGTGAACTACAGAAACATACTGTTAAATTACTTCAACAAACACTTTAAATGCTCGTTTGTTTTACAAATATACACTTAACAATTTGAGAGTTGTAAAATATTGCTTTATTGGTTACTCTGTAAATATTTAGACACTTAATTCTTGTACATATGTTTAAAACCATGAGTTTGTGTACTTTAAAAAAAGGTTTGTATCCAAACAGTATGCTCTGTACTGGTGGTAGGCTGCAGGAAATTTAAAATTGTTTTGCCCAGTTTCAACCTCACTTTGCTATGACAGTGTCATTAGAGAAGACAGACGGAGTTGTGAGTTTGGGAGGAGTATAAGGGTAAAGGAATGTGTTAATTTTTTTATCAACATGCTTACAGACTTTGTTACATTTTACAAAAATGTACTACTTCTCTTCTTTTGTATAAAACTTAAAAAATAAATCTTGAAATAAATTTTACATATCTTGCTGTTAACTGAGAAAATATATGGTTGCTGACAGATCAGTTTGAATCCCTCATAACTGACTTCTATGCACATAAGTAATCTGGAAAGAAAGCTTGTGAAACATTTTAGTTCAAATTTAATTTCAAGAAATATACATTAATGATTAATAAATAACTTCATGAAACCTATCACTGACCCTGTCAGTAGGTATCCAGCAATTCCCTTTATGCTTTAATGACCTATGCAAAAAGTGTTTAATGCAGTTTATTTAATACTGACATATTTTCTTAAGGGAATAAAATACAAATACAGCTTAAAATGCATCAGGCTGCAGCACATGAGCTATGTTTTCTGAATCTGGTGTGAGTACAAGTCATTCTTTATTAATTTTAAGGCTTTTAGGTAACTTTCAGAAATAAAGAGGGCTATTAAATAAGACCAGTGAGGCACACACACATGGCCAAGATAGAGACACCAATTAACCTAACCTTCTGTACCTGAAGGGGACACAGGTGGATACGGAGAGAATGGGTACACAAAAGGTATCCTAGTCCACCCCAGAGCATCAAGAACTTTAAAGAAATAGTGCAAATAAACCATTCATCTTCAATAACTACTTAATCCTGTACAGCACTGCAGTGAATTACAGCCTAATCTATCTGACAATGGACACAAGGCAGGATACACCCTGGATGGCATGCCAGTCAATAGGATGGCACACACTCATGTGCGGACCATTTAGGGATGTCAATTAACCTAGACAGTGTGCATTTAGACTGTGGGAGAGAATCGGAGCACCCAGATAAAACCCACGAGCCCCCAAGGAGGACAAGTAAACTCCATACAGAAATTGCCCCAGTCCAGGATCAAACCAAGAGCCCAAGCGCTGTGTGGCAGAGAGCAAACTGCCACACTTCTCTGCGACAGTCTTATCAAAATATCGCAGCGGTCACTTTCCACCATTTTGCTTTGTCTTGTACTTGATATTTCATTATAATAACACCTCTGTAATAACACATAATGTGTTTGTGCTTTACATGTATACCGAGGTTGTGCTACAGTATCTTGTGATTGATAGTTCTATTGGGCTCAACTATAGGGCGAGAGCCCTCTAATGTCGCAAAACAGTATTGCAAAAAGACTTCGCCTTCTTTATATAGTGCTTGTCATCCCCGAAACACAGAATTGTACTGATGCTATTAAGCAATGAATGAACAAAGCATATTCTTTGGCTATGTTCTGGTTCTTATTTATATTTTTCTGTAGATTTCAAATACATTGGCAATATATACAATGAGTGGATATTTGCATTTTAAAGAAAATTAGTAATGTATACATTTGAAACATACTGTTAATATACAATCAAAGCTACAGTCTTTTGGAAATATGACGTCATGTCTATCTACAGTATATATACCACTTACATATACAGTATAAACACATACATGCAGAAAATAACTGGTACTTACAATTCTAGACATCCAGGAAATAAAATTTAAAATGTGTACACTAAAATAAAATGCAACATGACTATATGTCTTGAGTCTTATTTTGCTGCAGATGCATCTCATCACAATATTAATCCTTTATGGAGTATTTTATTTGAACTCACACTCCTTTGAGTGTCCCCAAGCATCCAGGTGGATGTTGCACATTGGTGGTGGTGGAGGGGAGTCCCCATTACCTGTAAAGCGCTTTAAGTGGAGTGTCCAGAAAAGCACTATATAAGTGTAAGCAATTATTATTATTACACAATGCATCACTGATAATTTCTGACCACAAAATCTTATTTTCCAAATCCAAAGCAGGTTTATTTTTGTAATAATAATATAAATAATACCATATACTTACTGTATATAGCGCTTTTCTGGACACTCCACTCAAAGCACAGGTAATTGGAACTCCCTTCCGCAGCCATAGTGCGCCAGAACACTCACCCCACATCAACTATCAGTGAGGAGTGAGGAGGAGAACAGAGTGATGAAGGTTGGGGATGGGCATTATTAGGAGGCCATGATTGTAAATTTGGCCAGGTCCTACTCTTTTCAAGAACCCCCCTGGGGTTTTTAATGACGACAGAGAGTCAGGACCTTAGTTTTAAATCTCATCCAAAGGACGGCATCTTTTTTTACAGTGTAATGACCGTGGGCTTCGGTACAGAATGGAGCAGGCGTAGGACTCAAGGAATGGGGTTAAACAACCCATATAATAACTCGAACCAGGGAAAGGTACACACAGAGGGACAGGGGTTACAGCACTGCACCTACACTAACACACACACACGAAGGAAAGAAAGGCTGTCTCCCAGCCTCCGTCCCACTATATAAAGTCCAATAGGCCCACTCCTAGGCACTGTTCTAAGCCCACCCTGCATGCACATGGCTAAAGCACTCCGCGTGGCGCTACTTTGCCCCCACCTGAAGAGTCAGGCATCCCGCTGACCCCAAACCGTCCCTAAACTGTCCCTCCAGGCTGCACATGCAAGGCAGGCTGCTCCGCAGGCTCCTCCTGCTGGTCTCTCCGTTTGGGCTGGGGACCTCCGTCTGGGCAGACTCTCCGTCCATGCCAGGACCCTCCGTCTCAGCTTGGGCTCTCTCCCCGCACACTGGGCCTCTCACCAGACTGCTCTGGGACTCTGACCGCTCCATTCCATCCTGCTCCTGACACCAATGTAACGACCGCGGGCTTGGGTCAGGAATGGAGCAGGCATGGGACTCAGGGAATGGGGTTGAACAATACATTTAGTAACCAAAATCGGGGAAAGGTACACACAGAGGGACAGGGGTTACAGCGCTGCACCTACACTAACACACACACAAAGGGAAGAGGCCGTCTCCCAGCCTCCGTCCCACTATATACAGTTCCGTAGTCAAGCCCCCAGATGCTGTTCTCAGAACACCTTGCGTGCACATGGCTAAAGCGCTGTCACGAAGTGGTTTTCCAGGACCCTATGCAGACAATAGAATCCGGAAGGGAGTGCAACAAAAACAGGGGAGACGGTGAGGAACTGGGCTGGTAGACAAAGTAGACGAACAGGGGGGTGTGACGACAGTGCCCTGGTGCTCAGGGGGGCGTGGTCCAGGTGAACAAATCCAAGGGAGTCCAGGGGGGAAGTCCGGGGCGATGTCCAAGAGTCGTAAAACCAGGAAATCCAGACAAGACGAAAACAAAACACAATCAAAAACCGGAACGGAATCCGGAGCAGGGAGAGGGAATAAAACCGGGGGTGATGAGGCCAGGCACTTTGTAATGCACATGCTATAATATTTTCATTTTATTTATGTCACATAAAACACGATCAATACATCAATTTCAAAATTGTATATTCTTGTTGTGAATTAATATATTTTACAGTCGTATGTTTAAGGTTGTTATAATGTTGACAGACAAACCCAAGTCACTTTCCTGGGGGTACTGAGAAGAACATACTATTATTATATTGTAGTATTTCTATATAAATGTGCCTTCTGTTTTGATTGTATATTTGTGTAGCGGATCCCCACCCTAATTAATAATCCTTGGGGAGTTTTGATGGATATGTCCATAAATATTGTTGGTACCTCTCCTTCCATTCATGTATATTCTACCCTCTTTTAGCAGAAAAGCTGCGGGTTGCCCATTCAGTTAACAGGTTGGTTCCATATTTTCATCTAGTTTTTAAACCTCGGGTTATGACAATTTGGTGCAGCATTCTGAATAAGAGTTGAGTATACCCAATACAAAATTACACATTTTGTATTTTTTCAATAAGCCAAGACATCTATATTCAAATTACTTAGGTCGTTCAATACTCGATACGTCCTGTAGGGAATTAAGCACTGAGGTATTTTGAACTGTGGACCCATAGTTCTTAAATACCTCGTCAAGCTGGTTGCAAATTCTCTCTTTCCCGCAATCCACATTTCATCTGTTCCCCTCCTTGAAGGTAAAGACATACCTGGTATTAGATCGTGATATCTCTAGCAAGTCTTAGCTGTGTATTGTATAGCTTATTGCAGGAATTTAAAACCTGACCGCCTTGCGCAGCACCACTCGTTTTTCTGTCATCATTTATACGACTGAAATGAATAGCGAATGAAATAATAAACAAAAGTCGCGGAACACAAGAGGTAGCTAATGGTAGCTACTGACATTCACTGCCTGACCTGAATTTTACACTACACACATCACCGAATTCCGACGTTTGCATTACTATAAAAAGTCATATGCGTCAGTTCCCTGTTTCTGGTGCAGGATATAGCTTCCGTATAGTGCGTAACTCCCTACGTGAATAGCAGATCGAGACGGTGAATCAGCTGTCTGCGGTGTGTCTTTAAGTAGAAGAGTCATGGCCGCTGTGGCTGCCCAGGTAGTGGAAATAGATTCCCTTAATGAGCAGGTATATAAAGAATTGCTGTTATTTTATATTTTCACTTTTATGTGTGGGTTATACATATATTCCTGTTTATTGTAAGCGATAGCCCGTAAATCCATGTAATGATTAGCTAGGTTGTTTCTGCAACGTGGCAAGAGATTGATCTGTGCTAAGAGACAGCGGTGCAAGATAAGAAAGCTACCAAGTATTTTAAAACATCCGGCCTGTCTTTTAATGTTTCCAGATGCATAAGACCTATTTACTTCATATATTGAATTTGGAAGTTTTACAAGTTGAAACATATTCTCTTAAAACTTATCACTTGTCGTAGTGTTTACTGTTTTCATTTCTAATAGCAAATGAAAACAAAACAACGTGCATTATTTCGCTAGGTTTGCCAGCCGGTATTGTTTCTTCGTTGTTGCCTTGAAAAAAGAGGTAATTTCTCAGCGATAATTATCTATGGTTGTCAGTGTTTTATCATAGCTTCATACTGTAGCTTCTGTCCTAAAAATACTTTGCTTGCGCTGCGATTATTTTTTAGATAATCGTAAAAAATCATATTGGGTACTCATTTCTTACGGACTGCAGGGCGTTTTTACTTAAGAAAATGAGACTTCTGGCTCTACGTTTAACCACATTTTTGTTTGACAGGTTTTGCAAATAAAATATGAATATTAATTTATGTGACGGGTGTTGTGTGTATCTAAAATTATGTCAATGCAGTTCAATTTGGCAAATTTGACCTACAGCTAACCCGGTTCTGCTGAAAATGAGCATGAAAAGATGTAATTTAAGTGGAAAGTGATGTATTTTTCTTTGCAGTATTTACGTGGATTATCCAGTACTTTTGCAAATGTTTGTGGTGTTGCCCTAAACGATTGTGCCGAACAATCTGTAAATAAGATTTCAACAACTATTGAGTGCTGATACCACTAGCATCATACCTTTAGTTGAAGAGGAACATATATTTAATGCCACCCAGTTTTTCCTGGCACATGCCTCTTCCAGAAGCTAACTCATCTCCCATGGTACAGCAAATGTACTTCTGGAACACACAGGAATGTGTTCTGGAATTACTTTAGCAAATTCAGTGTTAGGCGAGTTCTATAGAGACACATTCTTAGCAGATCAGAAAATATTTCAGTAAATAAATGGTTTTGGCCAACTTGGAGTAAAACTGGAAATTTCCAAAGAGAAGATATTTTCCAACTTGTTTTTGTTTTACTCACTGTTTCTTTTTTATTTCTTCATCTGCCTCTTTTTAATCCAGCATTGTCAGCATAAAAATGTCCAGTGAAATCAAAGAGTTGGCAGCATTAATCCGTGAAGGAAATCTGAATTGAATTTCTTTCAGCAACATCTTCTCTGTGCATGTTAAATAACTTAATTATAGCTGTAAGATGCTATCACTATGTAATGGCTCATGGAAATTTGTATTCAGTAAATATTATGTAGCATGCAAATCTTCTAAAACAGTGAATTAAGTACAGTTTAGGTATGTGTACTTTCTTTTGTGTGGCTTAAAATGCATACTAGGGTAAGTTTCCATACTTCTTTGATGAAACTACTGAGTCTTTCTAAATCAACTTTTAGTGTTTAGTTGTGTTACTAGGAGTATAATCTTCAGTAGCATTAACTTATGTATTTTTATTTACTGTAGTCTTACACTTTGTTCCTGTTTTTATTGTAGCGTGATCTTTTGAAAATGTCACCAGAAGATAACTGGAAGTAAGTACATTGTTCTGTAACAGTGGTGATGCCAGATTTACAACAGTACCTAAATTAACCTTTTTGAAAATGGAATACTTCATTCAGGGAAAACTGGATACAAAACCCATCCTCCAGGGTCAATAAGACAGCAACTCCTATTAAAATTAGAATAATAATTTGAATTCTCCATGAAGTTTTTACTGATTAACATTACAGCACACACAACTGGTGAAGCTAGACCAGTAGGTCTTTTTCAGAGCAAGAACAGAGACTTAGTTTCTTTTATGAAGAACTGGTGGATATAGACTTAATTTTAATAGGATTTCACTTAGAGGGACTTCTTGTATTGTTACAAATTATGAAAATTAGGATTTAACCAAGTGGATTAGTCAATATGTGAAATAATTATTTATAACCACCAACTTAATAAATGTCTTTAGAATATATCTGAGTGGTTGGTATAATTAGAGGCACATTAATTATTTATTCTCTGGCACAGCTTTGTTTAGAGAAGTAATAATCCAGGCACAGTTAGTTAAACAAATATTTATTAATGATCATGAGACACAAACTACACTACACAAAACATTAAACACACAAGTTACTCTGTTTACAGTATTTACAAACAAGGTGTTTCAGAGGCCTAACATTCTGGTCACCCAGAAAACTCCAGACTGCTACTAAGCATTAAACTCTCTCTGCACTACGAATGCCAAAAAATTAATGGGAGCCTTTATCCCTATCCGTAAAAATGCAGGAAAGATGTTTCTAACTGAGGGATCTTTTACCCGGGAAACTCAAGTTCACAGAATTGCACACTGTTCTCTAGGAAGGTTCAAATACTTAGCTCCAGGCAGGTTTGGTTTGGATAATGATGATGATGATGATGATGATGATAATAATTACTTACACTTATATAGCGCTTTTCTGGACACTCCACTCAAAACGCTTTACAGGTAACAGGGACTCCCCACCACCACCACCAATGTGCAGCATCCACCTGGATGATGCGACGGCAGCCATAGTGCGCCAGAACGCTCACCACACAGTGGGGAGACGAGCAGAGTAATGAAGCCAATTCATAGATGGGGATTATTAGGAGGCCATGATTCGTAAGGGCCAATTGGAAATTTGGCTAGGACACTGGGGTTACACCCCTACTCTTTTTGAGAAACACCCTGAGATTGTTAATGACAACAGAGAGTCAGGACCTCAGTTTGTTACGTTTAATCCGAAGGACAGCGCCTGTTTACAGTACAGTGTTCCCATCACTATACTGGGGCATTAGGACCCACATGGACCACAGGGTGAGCACCCCCTGCTGGCCGCACTAATACCTCTTCCAGCAGCAACCTTAGTTTTTCCCAGGAAGTCTCCATCCAGATACTGACCAGGTTCACAGCTGCTTAGATTCAGTGGGTTGCCAGTTGTGAGTTGCAGAGTGATATGGCTGCTGGCTATGATCATGAAGTAGGGGCTTGCCCAATGCAAGCTTCAAGTCCCAGTCCTCTGGACTTGTCTCTCCTCTCCTCCTTCTGCTTCTTGTCTCTTCCTTCTTGTTCCTCTCAATATGGTCTTATATTGTGTGTGTCTGTACAAGCTTTAAGCTTGTAAAGCTTTACAGTTGTTTCTGCAATTTCCCTCCCCTTTCTTAGAAGCTAAAAGTGTTTACTCTTCCAAATGTCACAAGCTTTATCTAAAATCTGAGAGACACTTCTCAGTTACCTAAAGCTGTAACAGTATGTATATTATTTTTAATTGTGTTTGATAACTATTATTAAAAGTGAAATGAATGTGTTGTGCACAGTGTTGTTCATTATTCATTCTCTGATGGGTTGAGCAATTGATACAGAGGATAACAAGAGCTACAAATGGTCAGATATGGTATCATAGTTTCGCAACACTTTTTCATAGTTCTATTTTTGCTGTCTTGTACGTTCTGAATTTACAAGAGTTCCTCACCTAAATTCAGTTGTGCCTGTTTCCAGGATGGAGCATGAAAAGATGCATATAAAACACAGAGGTCATGAAGCCATGCATGCTGAGATGGTTCTTATTCTTATTGCTACCCTGGTGGTAGCTCAGATTGTCCTGGTCCAGTGGAAGCAGCGACATTGTAGATCATACAATGTGAGTACTAACTTGCTGTCTTTTTTTTCTTTACTTTTGTTGGAGTAACACATTAAATGCTTTTCTGTAGTACTCCAGGTTATAAATCTATATTCTTTGGTACTCTTGTTTTAGTTCATCTGTGTTTATGCAGAACATGAATGACAATGTTTCATTTATAATTGTTTCCCCTAAATTGCAGTTTCAAGATGGAGCCCTGTTACTGATATTATAATACGTTGGTCTGATATACACTAGGTACATTTGGAGATTATGGCCTTCTCCAGTAGTTACAGAGGGACATCAATCACGCATAGTGTGGGCTACAGCCTATCCTTTTTTATAATGCTATAATTGAGGTTTAATGGTTTCTGGTATGTCTCTTTGTTTTCCAGGACTTGTGGTCATCGTAATAATCTGCCTAGGATTTTCCTAGGGGAATTGACATTTATATGCAGTCTGTCTTACTAAGGTCGCTAAATGCATATACTGTACAAGTTTCTATTATAATATAATAATTCGATTAAGAAGGCAATTAGCCTTTAGTGATTTTATGAAGACTTTATCCTTTTCTTTTATTCCTCTGTGTAATTAAAAGTACTGGCTTTGTCAAATAACCAGACCTACTGGTTTAAATGAAAGCATTCTACCTACCTCTGTAGTGCTCAGCTCATTTAAAAGCCAGTAATGAGAAAAACATTTTACCTCTGGGCATCAGTCTGATTTGTCAGGAAATTCCTCTCGCTATGATGTGTAGATGAGTTGAAGTCAGTCTAATATGATCCATATGACAATTTTGCTGTTTGCCAATATTTTAGATGGGTTATTACATGCATCCAGATGGTGACCTCTCATCTACCAATATTTAATGCGTTCCAGGTCCCAGGTTCCATCCTGCTGGCACATGTAGCAGAATCGCCTGCATGTGTAGAATAATAGCAACTATGGAAGTGACAGTTTCTTCTCACAGTGGAAGAGTCTATTTCCTTCTGGTCTTCTCAAGATTAATTGATAAATCTAGAATCGGTTTTCATTAGTACAGTTCCACAGACTTCAAGTTTTTGCATGACAGTAAACAAATGTTCAAGACTGAGTTTACTGTATGAACCTGTATATTCCTAGGGATCTTTCCTCAGCACCTTCTCCCAAACCACAGTGAAACTGTTTGGAAAATAAATAAAAGAATGATAACTAAGCTTCATTAGTGCAGTCTGTTCTATTTTTTTCTTTTATTCACTTAACAAGGGATGAAGATCTTAGAAATAAAATTAAATGTGACATCATGTCAACTTAAAGCATTCTCTATGTAAAGCAAAGTCTGGTTCCATTATTGCATTTAATGAGGTTGCACAGGAAAGCTACTGCACTGCTTTCAGACGTATTTCAAGTGTTCTGTATTTCTTTGACAGATGGTGACCTTGCTGCAGATGTGGGTCGTCCCTTTGTATTTCACTTTAAAATTGTATTGGTGGCGTTTTCTCTCCACGTGGGGAATGTTCTCGGTGATAACCAGTTACGTCATCTTCAGAGCTACCCGAAAACCTCTGTCCGGAAGAACGCCACGGTACGTTCTAACCTCCACCAATAGCTCACCGCCGCTTTCCTTTTTTTGCCCAAACAGCTAGTTTCAGTGTTTGTGTAGTTAGAAAGTAAGATTTACCTCCAGTTCAATATTAAGAACTTTGCTTTCTTATGTAAGGAGGGCTTTATCTAGATATTCATTACCTTCACTGATAGCTCTAAATATTTGTGCAAAACGTGTGTTACTCAGGTTTTATAGTTCTCTTAAAGCCAGTGACATTCGCTCCTAGTCCCAGAGTGGTGCAGTCCGCCAGGTTCTGTAGGTAACGTCCTCAATTCTCGATGAGTTAAGACCTGGAAATAACAGTAATATAGACTAATTAAAGGAGGAGCAGGAATGGCCTCATCACGTCGCAATTTGTGGGAACTCTCGCCTGTGGCGAGACCAGGACTTTACAACAGAACACTTTCATAAAGTTTATAATTTTGTGTTTAATTCCAAATTTGTCAATTTTTTTTTTGCCATCAACAAATTTATTTTGTTACCGATTATTTAATTACCAGTCTGAGAAATGGGGACTGCAGTTGAATCGAATACAGTCATTAAAAGTCCAAAATGGAATGATAATGAGGAAAATGGGACATCCCACCAGGAACCTTTTTTTTTTCATTGTGAGAATTAAGAAATTAAATGATTATTAAAAACATAATTTTGATATTTCAAAATAAATAAAGCAGACCAAATAACTACATAACCCTTCACGCTTAGGTCATCTCTAGAAACTAAAGGACCTAAGAAAAATAGTAGTAGTGGCTTGTTAAGTTAATAATTATTTAAGAGAAAAAAAGAACACATTCATTTCTTAATGTAGGAATTCATTTGAGTACCTCTCTTTAATATAAAACCTTATATATAAATCAGTAGTTGGTCATTAAGCATTGTTATCAGAACAAAAGATCCAGACATTTGTAGTTACTTGCAAGTTTTTTATTTTTTTCCCCATGTAAAAACTAACAAAAAAACAACAACAGAAGGCCAGTGTTTCACTGAATTAAGTTAATCTTTAAAAGATTGGATTCAGACTTGTGATTTCCTGGCAGTAAGACACCTTCCTTTATTTACAACATATTCATATTGGCATGTATATGAATGTAAATATTAAGAAATCTAAATACATTTTTCTTCTTTCCAACAGAATGGTATATAAGTGGTTTCTCCTCATCTACAAGCTGAGTTATGCAGTGGGTATTGTTGGATATGTTGCAATTATGTTTACCATGTTTGGGTTCAATTTATTCTTCAGGTATGTCCTATAAATTATATGCATATGTAAGTACGTTTAGATAGATGTTGGGGTGAAGTTGTATTTCTTTAAGTGTTGGAATCGTAAATGTAAAAACATTTCCACCTGTTTTAATACCAGATTGGAGACTAAGTTCTGGGACAGATCCAGGGCTTGATCTGTTGACGTCTGTTTCCATCCAAATGCTGTTTCCATTGACACTCTTTGAGTAATTGATATATTTTAACATTCAGATATGCTCAGTAGTCCAATTTTTCATATGACCACCCACAGAACATGCTCCTAGTGTATTCTTTAGGGTCTTATTCTAGACAGTACATATAGCAGCAGTATTATTATTTGTTAACCTTAATGATACACATAGTATTTTGGGTACATATTTTGCATATTTGTGTATGGATTCAATACAAGACAAAAATACATAGAACCATCTCCAGTAATTAATATGCTTCTTTTCCATAACTTTTTCTGCTGTGCAAATTAGTTTAGAGTTTTATTCAGATGTAAATTTTACACTGATCTTGTTAGCTATGTATGTCTGTGCTTGGGTAAATCCTGGTAATAAGAAACCCTTAAATGTTACAATACAAATGATTTTGTATTAATCTGATTTTTAGTGTCTGTAACATTGTTTTAAATACATTGATAGATAAAATAGACAACACATACTGGTTTAAAAAGATTGTATCTGCTCCAGTTACTTGGTTCCTGCAGCAAATAGTGCTTCGAACGGTCCCAAACAGACTTCTTTTTTTCTTTTATTATTTTTTCAGTTTATCACATCATTAAATCATGGTTTCAGTACTGGTGGACTGAAGAAATGTAACACTCAAGTGTAATTAATATTTTAGTTATATATATATAGGAAACAAAATTGTAGAAAAAATACAATTTGCAGACATTACACTACAGTCATTTTGCTGATGTGCAGTCAGTTCTGGTGCTGCAGTTGCTGCAGTGTGAAAGTGAGTATGTAGATGGATCAGACAGATGTGACAGCCTGTAGTGTTGTGATTATCTTCTGACTTACAAGAAGTAAGCCTGTCTTTCACAGAGCTCAAATGTTTATTATTGAAACGTAAAATCTCATTCTCTGGACAATGTCTCCCATAGACAGGATGTTTTTAATCAGGCCGATAACTGATAGTGGTATTCCTTTAACAATTAATTTGTTAACATTTTATTTGAATGAATTCAGAAATGCATTATTTAATCTTTTTAACAGGATTAAAACAGAAGATTCAATGGATTTTGGTGTGATTTTGCTGTTTTATGGCTTGTATTATGGAGTCATGGGGAGAGACTTTGCTGAGATATGTTCAGATTATATGGCCTCTACAATAGGTGTAAGTGTCATTGTCCTGTTTTTCTAATTGAATACAGTTACTGCTTTAAATGTATAATATATTTTGTTGATAACTTTCATTGGTATTGTAAATCATGTAACAAAGCAACAAATAAAATCCAATAACTCTGGTCTTTGAAAATGTCATTTTATGCATTGGTCTCTGATAAAAACTACAATGATTAAAAGGCATGAACCAGAATTTCTGGGATGATCTAAAGCTATCATTCCTACTCCTTGGGCTAATTTAGTGTCATGATTGGTAGTTCTAAAAAGCTTTGAATTCTGTATAAATTAGATACTTTTTGTGTTTTGTAAAATGATGTTTTTTTCCAAGTGTTATACATGTATAATTTTATTTACTTATTTTGTATTTCAGTATTATAATGTTGGGGCCATGCCTTCAAGAAATCTCTCTGGCGACATCTGTGCTGTGTGTGGACAGAAAATATTTGTGAATCTAGATGAAGAAGGAATCGTTGAAAACACCTACCAGCTCTCATGTGGTCACATGTATCCTTTAAATAGCAGTACTATTTTGAGAACCACTGAATTGGAAAATAAAGTGCATTTTCTTTTTTTTATTTTATGTTTAATATAAAATTACAGCGGTTTTAATTTTCAGCATAGCTTGGGTATTTGCAATATGTTGCAGAATATGTGGGCACATGTAATATGTAAGGGAGCACAATGATTGTCTTGTTTAAATATGCTTTTGTTGTACCTTTGCTTCGTCTTGAGGGGGTTATCCACTGAAAATGAGTGGCTTTGGAGCTGCTTTAATTTTTAAAACAAAAGCATTTTTTTACACTGAGATATAATTGCTTATTTGAAAGTAGAAGATTAGTGAAAAATGTTGCAGTCTGCAGGAAATCATTGAAGGTTAAATAGTTAAAGAAGTATGAGTAGAAAGTAGCATGGATACAGTGCAGAGGAACAGATAAAGGTTTAATCCATGCTAAAAAGAAAAGAGACACAACACTTCAGCTGTGGAGCCTTCTTTGGGTGTGGAAAGAAAATAGTTGAAGAAGTCTGTGAGTTTTACTCTGGGTGGTATCCAAGTCAAAGGAAAAGGTGTTTAGTTCAAGACAGAATCCTTTAGGAATGATATTATTAGGACAACATCTGTAGAGGAATAGGAGGTGGTTAGAAAGTCCAATCTTGGAACAAATTGCTGTTAAGAGAATGAATGCCAGTTTAGTGAGAGAAGGGGGCAAGGAACACAAGAGAATATGTATGAAAGATCATAAATGACGAAGAGGTCTAGAAAAATATTCCGTGGGAGGCATAATGAGTTCCAACAGAAATGCAGGTGTTCTTCCACACCTGAAGAAGACTCCACAGCCATAACATTGTTTCTTTTTACCCGATCATTTGAAAGTTAAATGGTGTTTCATATGTAAATCTTCATGCAATTTTCCTACCTTTTCATTGCTTTGTGTCATGTTTTAATTTTAAAAAGCAAATGCATTTCTGAGGCATTGTACATTAGATTTATAGTTCTGTAAACTGCATAGTTACATTAGTTCTAGTAAACATGGACACATTTCAGTGTGGAAATGTATTTATAAAGAAGTTCCTTAACGATTACCGATATCAGATTTCATGAATTTTGTATTCGGGGTTGGTGTATTGTGGGAAAGAAGCAAACCTGCCCTTACTGTAACGAGAAGGTGGACCTCAAGAAAATGCTGAATAATCCGTATCCTTTAAACCAGTGTGAATGGCAGGTTGTACTACTTAGAATAATACATCATATCCCCAGGAATTGTAAAGTCAATTTCAAACTTTACAAACATCTAAGGATTGCCCATCCAAGGATTTGCAGTAATAGAATAAAAAACTATTTTTAAAAGCAACATTGTTTAAACAAGGGTGTAAGAACAAATAGGATTCTGTGAGGCGTTTATTTAATTAATTTTTAGTTATTTATTTTTATGAGGAAGCACTCTATAGAACACATTCACTTAACAGTAAGAGACACAGGGTCAGCAGAAAGACTTCCTTCTGCTTTTGAATGGTCAGTAAAGACATCTTTTGATTAAGATATGGTGCAAGCAGCTCCCTCTGCTGGCATGTTTTATTAGTGTTATTATAAATTGAGGTCACCTTCACATGGTATGTCCACAGTTTGATCTTAAACGAGAACATACCTCAAATAGATGTTAACGGATAGTTCTGTGGTATTGCAAATGCAGACAGTGTGTTTCAGACACAAAATGTGTGAATTAAAACACAGGACACATGAGTTCATTATGGAGTGGTCTAATAATTGTCTGAGCGCAAAGGAAAATTGTGCCTCAATTCTGAAAGTGAAAGTTAATGTACAATTTCCCTGTATTTTATAATTGCCCAAATAATGCAAGCCAAAAAAAATGAAGTTTCTGCAAGTTACACAATTTATTGACATATTGAATGATGGGTATAAAATGTTTTGAAGGTGCTTTTGAGTATCAGTTGAAGCCTGTTTTCCCACTGAAGGTCTTGCATTTAAAATTATTTGTTGAAATATATTTATAGATTTAAAATGTATTGAAATATTTAAAAAGTTGTAACTTTGTTACAAATCTAAACTAATTCTGTGTTTCGTAGTTTATTGATGCAAAGTACTGTAAAAGGTAATGTTTGTAATATTATAGTGATATATTCAAATTCTGAATAGTTCTCCTGCACAATAATCTTGTGAATCTTAAAATTGTTCAAAAGCCAAAAATAGTACTGACTGAGGTAGATGCTTAGAGCATTGTTTTTGTTGTAATCCTTAACTGCACACAAAAGCTGGGAACGTACTCATGTTTTATATGGTCAGTTGCTGGACTGGTTACGATACCTGGTTGCCTGGCAACCTGTAATAATTGGTGTGGTTCATGGTATTAATTACACCTTAGGACTTGAATAGTTCTATTTTGTTCATGTAATGCTTTCAGTAATGGCTGTAAAAGTATCTGTATATCCTGTATTTATATTGTAAAAACAAAATGGTATAATTTATTAATGTAAATAGCAGTGCCATATTCATATGTGTAGTAGCACAGCATTCTCATGAATTTTGTAATGGTAAGATAAATTGTACAGACTGCATATCTTGAAATTCAAGCAGTAAATAGTGACCTATCATTTTTTTCACCTTTTACTTTTTTTATGCAATGTAGATTTGTTTTTAAAAAAAGTCTTATTCTGACAGTCTAAAAAATCAATTAGTAACTTATACCTGTGTGTGGTTTACCAAGCATTGGTTGATTTTGTCTATGAAGAGCTAGAGATTTATAAAACTCTGTCTGAATTAAATTCATAGTTTTGACGTTCTGTGTGGGAGAAAGGAAAGGAATGGTTAGCTGACAAAACTAATAATAATGCTTATGTAGTAACAAGCACAATTCACAAGTATAGTTTTGTAAACAGTTATATTAGGGTTGTTCCTTTTTTATATTTTCTATATTATAGCCAGCAGCCATATCACCCTGCAACTCACAACTGGCAACCCACTGAATCTAAGCAGGTGTGAGCCTGGCAGAGTACAGAGACTTCCTGGGAAAAACTAAGGTTACTACTGGAAGTGGTATTAGTGGGGCCAACAGGAGGTGCTCACCCTGTAGTCTGTGTGGATTCTAGTATAGTGGGGAGGATACTATACTCTAAACAGGCACTGTCCTTTGGATGAGATGTAAAACTGAGGTCCTGACTCTCTGTGGTCTTTAAAAATCCTAGGGCATTTCTCAAAAAGAGTAGGGGTGTAAAACCGGCATCCTGGCCAAATTTCCCATTGGCCCTTACCAATCATGGCCTCCTAATAATCCCCATCTATGAACTGGCTTCATTACTCTGCTCTCCCCACTGATAGCTGGTGTGTGGTGAGCGTACCGGCACACTATGGCTGCTGTCGCATCATCCAGGTGGATGCTGCACATTGGTGATGGTGGAGGGGAGTCCCCATTACCTTTAAAGCGAGTGTCCTGAGTGGAGTGTCCAGAATAGTGCTATATAAATGTAAGCAATTAATTCATTATTTTATTGTTTTTCTTCTTTTTAAAATTGCTGTAAATACAACAAAAACTGCTGATAGCAACAATTAATGTTACAAAAAATGCAAGATCTGAAAATGAATGATTGTCAATCTCAATAAGTATTGCGAATTGTGAGCTGGGGTGAAACATTCTATGTTTGGAATTATTAGTTAAGGAAAGGTCTTCTCTGTTTATTTGGACATTTACTCCAAGAATTCAGTATAATATGCAACTTGTCTACAAAGCCTGCTGGGAAATGTTCAGAGCAGGTATGTCTAACTCTCTACACTAGGGCTTTTCATAGTGTGGCCCTCCCATTTTGTTACAATGGGCTCCTTAATTATTTAATTGATCATTTCCACTAAATCAATACAGCATAACAATTAAGGGATCAGTTGTATTAAAATACTGAAATGGAACAGATGGGAAACGTGAGTTGAATACCCTGTCACTACATTAACAGAGGAGCAAAGAAAGACATTAATGTACAAGTAACCTGTATAGTATAATATCCCAAACTTTGAGGAATTAAATCTTAAATTGTTAAATAACGGTTCACTCATGATAAAATGAAATAATAAGATGATAGTAACATTTAAAAATGTATGATTCTGAGCTTAGATTTATTCAACAAGATTTGTATTTTGCAAATCTGTAGGCCTAAAAGGAGAAACAGTAAAATGTATGTATGCATTTATATAGAATCACTGTATATAACACTCTTTACCTTGAATGTTCATAATAAAACTGTATTTTTGTTCTTTGTAATGTTAAAGAAAATATTTCATTTTAAAGTTAGCGTAGATTGAATTCCTCTCTTTTTATTGCTAATTTAAGGTTGTGCCAGAATATGGGTTGTAGTGCCTCATCTTCAGGCCATTCCAGATATGTTTGAGAGTTCATGAGTTTGCGCAGCTTGCAGAATCTCTTTGGAATGGTTTCCTTTGGGATTGGTTCCAATAGAATTAATATGGCTGTGTCATTGTTCTCATCAAAAAGTCGGAAGTGGGAGAAATCCAACTCGTACCTGCACCACTCACTACTGACAAAGTGCTTGGAAAGAACAAAAAGAGTCTTCTGGCTTTGCTCTATAGAGTTGATTATATTGTCCATGATCCATTTTCCTGGAAGAAAGTCACGTTTGTGAAGGCAAAGTCTAAAAGGTGGTTGTGTACTTTCTAATTCATTGACCAAGTAGTTCTCCACCCACTCAGAATCTCTTTCGCTGTATGAAATGAAGGCATCATAGTAAATATTATTGACTCTGGTGGTGGGCTTTCTTTTAGCCTGAATCCATGCCCATGTCATTCTTAGGTACCAAAGTACATGAAATTTGTAGCAAAGGATCACAATAATAAAAAACACAAAGAGAATGCCTGTGCACATTACTGCCAAAGATATCATCATATGACATTCAAAGACTGAATGATGTATATCCCAGACCAGCAGTCCTTTCATCACAGAAGGTGAGTCACATACATAGTCCTGACGGCTGTCATTCAGTTTCACCATGTGTGTAATGTCCTTTTGCATGAATGGCACAAATTCACAAGAGCATACATATTTGTTATTGCCAGCCTCCAAAAGTGCAAGTTTCTCAAAGGCTTTTATATTTTTCATATTAAGTGTGTTGAGTTTGTTTCCTGTAATTGAGAGCACTTCAAGGCTTGGAACCAGTCTTCCATCAGGCATTTGCATGAACTTGTTGCCTGACACATAGAGCTCTTTGAGCAAAGGTAATTTAACTGTGAAGACAGTCAGATCATTGTTGCTTAAATCCAGAATGTGTAAACTCTGTGGAATAGAGGGTGTTAATAGTTGAATTTTGGATGTAGAAAGGTTTAAATATTGGAGATTTGGAGGCCAATTACAGCTCTCAGGCACGTCAAAAAATGTATTTTGGCTTATGTCTAGAGAAACAAGCTTGTTGAGATTAGTGAGTAATTGACTCAATTGTCCTAGAAACTTCAAAGAGTTTTTACTCAAATTTAAATATTGAAGGTTTTTCCATGTCCCATTTCCATGACATGCACTTTCTTTCATGGCATAATCAGTGAGCAGATTTCCACTGAGGTCCAAATATTCGAGACTTTGAAAACTCTGGGATGTTAGGCAGGGTATCAAAAAGACTTTGCTGTCAATGATAGTCACTCTTTTCAGAGAATGCAGATAATTCCGGAAATCAAGAAAAGAAGTGAATGCATAGAAATTTGTAATTTCTAAATTTTTTATATTCACAGCTTCTAGTTTAAGAGCCTTTAGAGCAGGTTTAATTTTACTAGCTTTTTTCCAGGCACCCTTACCGGACAGCCGAGAATCCTCTATACCTAAATAAGACAGCCCTGAGTTAATTGTGACTGTAATGAAGTCATCTACAGCTTCGTCTGACAAAGAGACATTTCTGAATGTTAACTTTTTCACCCCTGCGTGACAAATTTCAGAAAATGACTGTACTGAATTTGGAAGGGTTAACTCTATATCTTTCAATTCCAAGTGAGTTGTACAGTTTGAAAGATCCTTCAACATTTTTCGTATTAAAACTCCATCATTCTCGAATGGGCCATGGATGCTCAAAATAGCGTGGCTAATATGTTTTATATGCCTGAAGCTGCCCTTTTCATATTCCTTCAGGTGACTGCCATGTAACTCCATATCATCAAGCTTCTGGATCCCAACAAAGTCTTTATTAGATATAGCTTTGAAAGATGGATTTCCAAATTTCAGGCTCTTTAGCCCACCTAATGACTGGAAAATAAAGCCTTGACCTAATGTTCTGTAGATATTTCCCAAAATGTTCAGGTGCTGTAATAAGACCAGATCATTAAACCATGATGGTGATAAATTGCCCAGTTGGTTGTAGGACAAGTCCAAGTATTCCAGCTTTTTTGGAAATCTGAAAGCTTTTTCATGAATTGAGTGAATCTTGTTGTTCTGTAAGCTCAATGCTTTGAGCTCTGTCCAAACTTTGAAGTCTGTTTCGGTGACAATTTCAATGTTATTAAAAGAAAGATTGAGAACTAAAATGTTCTTCATGGGCAAATTAGGTACTTGCAGCAGTTCTTCAGCAGAGCAATCACAAATACTCCTTTCGTCACAAAGGTGACAGTTGTGCCTCCCACATATTGCACTGTAACCTGTGAAAAGGCACACAAGGAACAGTTTGCATAGTTTGATGAACAGAACTCCCATTGTGGCAAACCTTAAAGAAGAATGAAAATATAGTGAATGTACAGTATTTGATTCTTACATTAAAACCCATAAGAACCAAAAGCCAAAAAAGAAGCTTGTGTAGCTTTAAGGGGCACTATTTCTGATTAGGCAAATGTGAGCAGTGGTGTGATCCCAGAATCTCTTTTAGTCCCTTTGCTCTTCTTAATCCATATAAACATTCTTGATTCTGATATAGTAAGCAAAATAATTACAAAATAAGGGTAGTGGCAAATAATCAGTAGGATAATTGCACAGATAAAGGGTGGGCGGACATCAATAAGTGCAAAACGATCCATACTGGTAGTAGGAACAATCACTTTACGTGTTCAGAGCAGAATGTTCCTAGACATGAAAGAATTCTTGGTGTTTATGCAGATTCTTCTATGTCCTTATCAAGATATTGTGAGGAAGCAATAAAAAGCAAACAGAATTCTCTTAAACATAGTAAACTGGAATTTATATGTAGGGAGGTTATGCTTAAGCTTTACAATGCAGTAAAGAGTGCAAGTAGGAACTGATAATGTTGTGTTGCCCTTTGGAAATTGTATAACAAAAAGGACATAACTTTCAAAAGAGTTCAAAAAGAGCAAAACGGATATTTCTGATCTCAGGGGATTGTTGTATATAAATGGATTAAAAGAGCTGCATCTTTTCAATTTAGAGCAAAGGAGATTGAAAGATTTGATTCAAGAATACAAGTTGCTAAGGGATATAGACAGGGGCAAACCAGGGGGTCATACTCTATGGGGTATCATATTCAGTGAACCAAGGACACAATGGAAACAACAATTGGAAAATAACAGGTAATTCATTACAATTCAAGGCTGCATTAAATTTTAGTTTCACTTAACTACTAATCTACCAAATGAGCAAGACAGGTCAAGTGTCGTCTTCTCATTTGCATTCTGTCTTACCTGTTTAATATGATGAAATAAATTTTCCCCACACGCAAAATAATCATGAAATGGTGTAAGTTTAGTGCTGCAGTTTAATATACAGAATTAAATTATTTTATATATTTCTTTATAGTCCTTCTTTATTTAGTTTAAAAGCAATGAGTACAAATGCATTCAAAAGGAAAAGTGAGTTTTTTAAATGCAAATGTAAATACAGTAGTTGTAAAACAGCACAGGAGGCATTTCTTCACACCAGCTTTTGCCAGAGTATGGGACAAGCTACCCTGTCATATTATTAAAGCTGATGACCTGGCTTCTTTCAAGAAACAGCTGAATGGCATCCCCTTTAATATCAAATAGGCTCGGTAGACCAAATGGCCTGCTCTAAACTTATTGAAACCTTGTTTTTGTCTTACAAATGCAAGCAAACATAAGATTGGCTTTCTAGATACCCCCAATTTAATACATTTATGTAATGGTTGATTAAGGAGGCTTTCAAATTAGTTTAATATTTCCCCCTTATTCCACTATGGATTATGATTGAATGTAGGCAATGAGATGTGTTGTAAAATTGGTTCTGCCTTAGTTCTAGATTATTTTTGTGTCTTCTACAAAAGCAATTTCTCTGTTTTGCCTAATACCCACTTCCTTCATTTCATGCAAAAATAATTTATTCTGTTTTGTATAGCTAAGCAAAAGAAAAGTGATTTGGATTCTTTAATTATGATCAAACCACCAACAAGCTACGTACCCCACCCCAGGTCCGGCCCAACAATCAGGTTAGCCCCATTTAAAAGAGTGAAGCAGCAGGTTGGGTAACCTGATGCAAACATGGTGAAACAGACAGAACAAGACTTTGTGGATCCACAACAGTTAAAACGTTTAAATAAAACACAGCCATATAAATATTTACGAAAAATAAACAATGCCCTTTACCACATTAATGGCTCAATTAATGGCTCATCTATTAGTCACAGTTCCAGGGGTAGGACCTTACTAGCTTGTACTGTAGTTACAGTAAACTTGCTGAGTATTTTATTCACGTACAGTTTTTATTGAAAACGTCAATATTTACAAGAAAGTCCTAAAGTTTGCATTTGTACTAATATTGACATATTGTTATAAAAAGACAATGTGTTGAACATACAGTATTCTCTAAATAGACTGGGAAAGAACCAGCAAAAGTCCATCATGCTCCACGCTAAGCATGATATTCTATTATGCACATCGTTTAAAAAGGAAATCACTGTTTACTACATTATAACATTGTATGTTAAAGTTATTACAGTGGAGTATATAACCAGTTTATGTACTGTACTGCACCAAAATAACACAATGTCCTTTGTTAAAGTATTAAGGGTAACAGTGTTAGTACTTACTGAATATACTTTTTATTATATGGCAATACAAACATACAAAAATCTGTCACTTTTTTGTCACAGTCTAGAAAGCCAAATTATGTCTATAATACATTTGAAATTCTTCTCAGAGCCTAGAACTTTTACATGGAAAAACTGCTGCAGGAAAAAAAGAAATATTTCTACCTGAAAACAACTGATATCTGTATTGTGAGTTGGTATCAGTGGCTGATGCATTTTACATTGATAGTCCTGACCAGTATTTTTTGTAACTATGCAAAAAACAAAAAACCCATAAAGAGACAAAATGTTTAAAACACTATACAATTATGTTATCTTAACAGTTTACACAATTAGTAATGCAAGATAGGTACTTGGTACCCAGACGTATTTACCTTTTTAAGGACTCTTGCTACTATTCTCCACTTCAGTGTTTGTTATTTTTGTCACAGGCTGATCAAAGTCAAATATATTAACTATATTGCACCTGAAGCATGCACAAACACAGCTTTCAAATATAGATATTGATCATTTAAACATTACCTCCCAAGCTTTCTTCACTTTTCTTGCAAATGCACAAAGACACATTTAGTGGTGGGTTGCCCTTGTGGTTCAGAGAAGGTACTGGAAATTTGATAGTTACTGTAATGTTGTGCAGCAAAACAGGATGCACATTTAGATTTCTGGTAACTGTTTCCACAAATTAGGGGAAGAACCAATAAAATGCATTACGATTCTTTAAATAACTTCATCATCATGTAAAAGCACATTTATATCTTAAGGAGAACTTCAAGGTTCCTCTTGAAAGTTATATATTTTTTTATTTTACTGTACTCTACAGGGACTGCACAGTGGTATGGTAGCTAGCTTAAGATCTGGTCTTGATTTTGGACTTTTATGTTGTTTTGATGTTCTGTGTTTGTGACAGTTTTCTCCTACCTTAGTCTTTAAATTGTGTGGAAATGTGTCTGTGTCCTGTGATTGAATGGATTCTATTTAGAGAATTATCTTAATTTAGTCATTTAAAATGCAACCACTAAGATGAGTGAAGTAAAAGTTGAATAGTTACTCTGAACGCACTAGTAGCTTAGCCAAAACAACATGATTCTGCAGAAAACCTCAAGTGAAAACCTTTCAGTCTGGTAAACTTACCTTAATTCTTAAGTATCTTAATTTTGTGATTTCAAGTGGAACTAGAAGTATAAACAGAGTCACAATTTGATGAATCTTGTAACCCTAACCCTTGACTGGCCTGAAATACGTGGTCTTTTCAATACGATCCATTATTTAATCAGATTAATTTTCATTTTAAGGAATGGATTTGATGGTTTAAGGTACATATTATGTGTAGTAAGGATTTTTTTCAAATTTGATGAATGGTGGGCTGCATATACAGATTGCAGAACCGCTTGGTTTAAACTCCTGCTAGGGTTAGAGTTAGCCATAGTACGAAGAGATTTGTGTTCCATGTGGCTGCATTTTGGGGCCCAAGTGAACTTCAGGAAGACGTTTTTCCCTTACTTTATTTTTTTCTGAATAGATTTCGCTGCTTAGATTCTATTGAACAGTTCCGGAATTGAAATTACAGAAGTAACATGAAATAAAAGCGTTAAGGAAACCCGTTCCATTTTGGTAAGCTGTCTCAATTTTGCCTTTTCAAGTTGAAGCAGGAGTATAAACAGAGTCACAATTGGGTTCCTGTAACCTTAAAAACTATACTGGCTTTAAATACATGATCATTTAAATACCATATTTAAGGCGATTTACAGCTGATTGAATATTTGCCTAAAGAAGATATATAATTGAATCAGATGCATTTACAAGAGTTTTTACAAAAGGAATTGATGGTTTTAGGCACATATTTTGTGTAATGAGGAACCTTTTCAAATGTAATCAATGGAGGGATTCATAGATTAAAGAATTGATCAGTTTAAGCTCCAGCTGTGGTTAGGGTTATCATTTCCACAGTATCTAGACATTTTTTAATCTCATGGTTGTATTTTGGTGCCCAAGTGAAATTTAAGAAGAGTAATAATTTTCTACCAACTTATTTGATTGACTTGATTGATTAGGCTTACATTGTATTACACAACAAGTGTTTCACACAGAAAAAATAACATTATCCCGTCTTCCCATGGTGTGAAGCAGATCAGCAGGTGGCTGAGAAAATAGTGCACTGCCCACTGAGCTCAGTCAGAAGAGGCAGCACCAAGAGAGACAGGAGGCACAGAGCTCAGCAATACAGAAAGACCATTATGCAGCTTGGACGTGTACGGCACCGGGTGTCTATGTCTTTAAAACGTTTTTTTTTAAATAATTATTCAGGCAATGTAATTTTTTTTAACTTAAAGTCTTTTAATTATCATTAAGCATAGCTTTCTCACCGGTTAGGTTTATTTTTTGAACCATCGTTAAACAAAGTAGGATCTTATTGTACTTCCTAATGACATTACACATGGAAAGATTATACATTTTAATTATTTTTAATTTTTTAATACATTTTAGAACAGTTTCATTTATACAAATCCTACAAACTATTCTCTATTGTATTTCTGAATGTTATGTCACACTTAGTTAAATGTTTTACATACATCTAAATAAGAAAGTCAGATGTGAGCATAAACTATTAGTAATCAATTATTAATATTAAAATTTGGACTGTAATAAATTGTTGCACTTCTTCCACATCTTGTAAAAATATTAATTTACAGGACTTTGTTCGAGTATATCTTAAATCTGACTATCAGAAAATAAGTAAAATACACAATTATTTTAAAAAATGAGGATAAAATATAATTTAAAACATTTTACTAACTAAACAATCAATAATTAATAACAATGTAACTGTTTATAAAAATTAAATTATTACCTTAAGAATAGGGTGGTACAGTCGTTAGCATGGTTTTTGTATCTTTTTTTCATAAATACAACAGTAGCACCAGTTAAATGATTCATGCAAATCTCTGAACTACAAAGATGATTATCCAGCCATTTCTCTGGTTTCACAGAGGTTAGCATTGCTATCTAGGTTCAATTTCTGGGGTCCTGTATGTGTGGAGTTTGCACGTTCTCTCCAGGTTCACATGGGTTTCCTCAGGTGATCTGATTTCCTCTTATAGTTCCAGCACACTGGTAGGTTAATTGGCTTCTGAATAAATTGGCCCTGGTGTGAATGTGTGTGTGTTTGTGTCTACAGTATGTGTGTGCCCTGTGATGGACTGGTGTTACTTCCAGGGTGTACCCTGCCTTGCATCTGTTGCTTGCTGGGATAAGCTCCAGCTTCCCTGTACTGCATAAGAGTTTAGAAAATGGATGGAACTATATGTATAGATACTGTGCAACTGTTCACAGTGATAGAAACTCACTATGAAATGGCAGCAGTTACTCATTAAGGATACATTTTAAAGTGCTGGCTTAAGGAAACAGCCTTTCCACATCTCTGGCACATCAGTATCCATAGCTAGTTTGCTATTTTAACAAATTGCCTCTAAATATAAACATCTTAAGATGCTGGCTCTGTGGATCAGCATCAGCTACTGTATGTTTGCCTATTCCTCCTGTTTATATGCATCAACACACAGTTCAATGCCAGTAACTACACAGAATCTAAAATGTGTTTATGTTTAATATCTTTTGATTAAAATATGTTTAATCTCATTTCAGGATCTATGTAAACATTCAACATTGTTCACATGCTTTTGTAACACACAGCTTTCAGTGATTGTCTTTGTATATTTAAGCTTTTGCAAGTGTTCCTGCATTCTTCTTCTGCACTATGCCTGGTCATGTTTCACTTTTTTCTGTTTGCTCATTTTAAAGTAACACCTGTTCCAGATTTTTTTGCTCGTATGTATTTTTGTATTTTTACATCTAAACCATTTATTTACATCTTTAACACGTCCTAAATTTTCAATTGTGTTAATTAGACTGAATTTTAGCTTCAGCCTTAAAAAGCTTCAATTTTCTCTCTTTGCTACTTGTCCTACTGAGCTCTTTAATTGTGAAGTTTCCAGAATCTTTACATTAATCTATGCACATTTTAAACTCTTACTGATCACCGAACCATTGCACTTGACATGGCTTAATTCACCCTTTCCTGAACTTCTATGGCAGGCAGAGCTAGTGCCGTCTCTGGTGTGATTTTTATTATTTTTATACATCTGGCTATGTAAACAATATAGCCAAAAGGATCGCTCTGACCATGATTTGAATTGCTTTCCTCAGAATAGGAACCACTTGTCTTAACTGCTGTGCCAAACTGCCTGTTAGGCACAATGCGCTACATTAGTCTATGAGCATTTCAATGTCCATTAGCATTGTAAGGACAATGGAAGTTTCCAAAATATCCACAAATGATATTTTTAACTGCCAAAATGTCTTTGGTTACACGATTCCATATTAATGTAACTGTAGTGTTTGTGCGATGGTGGTTTAACACTCTGCTGGTACAGATGGTAACTGGATGGAGATCGATATATATATGTATTTTTGCAGTTTATTACTGAAGAACCACCTTTACTACTCCGTGTTCTCTCCCGGTCTCTTCCTGATCTCCCCCTGTCCTAGTCACATTCTCTCCCACCTGTAACCAATCAGAAAACACAAAGTCACATTACCGTAAAACTATCCAGCAACTGAACCAGAGAACTCCACACAACTCAAAAATATTTCAAACTGCTCAGCTGAACAAAACAACAGGACCGGAGCTTACATTAATATTCCCTATCATGTGGTATTAAATCAGCATTACACCTTTTTTTTACAACAATAACGGCACGTATTCTTATTACATACTCTTCAAAAAGGACAAAACATTATTGCTTTTTATGAAGTACATAAACAATATAGTTAGAACAAGTGCTTCAAAACTTTTCCAAACTAACCATGGCAAGTTACTGAGTTAAATACTTTGATGCACACAATGTTTATGAAGAAGGTGGAATACTGTGTACTTTGTATTTTTTATATTTAGCTACCACTTCTGTATGTACATTAGGTATACATTACATACGACATCCTATGACTTTAAAGCCACTACAGTACAGTACGTGTGTAATATATTTTTCACAATCTGAATTTAAAGTTAAAATATTCTGATTACTCATTGCTGAAATTTGCATTAAGGCACAACATAGATTATCTCAATGCAGAAAGCCTGAAAGAAGGGTATCGGTTCACAACAAGCCAAATTAGAATAAAAAACTATTTTTCATATCGAACTGAGTAATGCTGTTCTTGTAAAATAGCCCTACTTTCTAATTAATTTTATATTTAAAATAATGTAACACATAGCTTAATATTAATAAAAGTCCAATCAGTATACAACTTAAGTTCTATAATTGGAAAAAGATTGTCCCTCCGCATTGACTGGGATTCAAAACCAGGCAACAGCCCAAATGCTAATAGATGCCATGTTAAGCTTTCACTGCTCCACCTGGTGGTTTTACAAAGTAGTGCAGTCTGACAACAATATTTTTTAAAAATGTGCAGCAACCCGCAGCACGTAATGTACTGCATTATCCGCCGTGCATTCTGAGCGGCAGGATCTGTATTTTGCGCAGTGAGGAACCTTTTCAAATCTGATGAATGAAGGGCTTCATAGATTGCAGAACTGATCAGATTGAAAGTCCATTTAGGGTAAGGGGTAGCATTCCCACACTACTTAGACATTTTTGAATATCATGGCTGTATTATGGGGTCAAAGCGAAATTTAGGAAGAGTTATATTTCTCCCCCAACTTTTTTTTGGGGGGGTTGAGTCGTTGAATTGGTCGCTTATGGATTGTACTTTAATCCTCAGCTAGGGTTAGGGTTAGCATTCCCACAGTACTGAGACCATTTTTTTAACTTCATTGCTGTATTCTGGGTCCAAAGCGAAATTTAGGAAGAGTGATACTTGTCTCCCAACATCATCTTTTTCAGATAGATTTTGCTGCCTAAATTTTTTCACAGATAAGGAATTGGAATATATAAGGAATATACAATTTCTTGTATTAGGAATTTGTCTTTTTGCATACCCTAACTTGCTCTCCATGAGACACACAGACAGGGTCAAAGTGCAGCGTCAGCCATTTATAAAGCGCCCCTGGAGCAGACGGGTCTTGCTCAGGTGCCCGACGAAGTAGGATCCTTCTGCTGGCCGCAGGATATGAACCGGCAACCTACCTTCCAGCCACAGGCACAGATCCTTAGCCACTGAGCCACCGACCCACCTGTTTTTGACATTTTATTTTAACCATTTTCTATTTTCATAAACCCTCCCCATTGGATGGAAATTATATCTTACTTTCCTCACTACACATGCTATCAAAATAACTGAATGACTTCTGACTTGTAGACCAGATTCCAGCTAAGTAATTCAAACCTTGTTATAGTGAGGTTGCACTCCTGGGTATTTTAGGAAATTCCAATTTCCTTAATTGTGGAATACTCAGATTAAAAGCTTTCTTTCCCTGGTTGGAGATGTATCTTCATAGAATATGGAGATGGATTTTGATACACTTTAGGGCATTCATGTTGTAGGATGGGATGTTTTAGTCTTGTGTTATAATCTTGTTTTAGAATGCAGGCTGTTTTTTTCTATGTTGTGAAAAGTGTAACCAATGCGGGTTGTTTAACATTTTGTATAGCTTTCTTGTGGTATTGTTTATTTTTAATATTTGTTTTTCATGTTAATCATGTTATGACTCCTGTTTTATTAATCACGAGAACTGTGCCAGAGTACATGAACAATTTGTTACCGATGGCTCAGGTAAAACATTTATGACATTTTATTTAACCATGTTCTATTTTCATAAACCCTCCCCATTGGATGTAATACTATCTTAATTTCCCACCCACATGGACATTTAAGTTGTTCACATTTATTTGTATATAACACTGTTTGACGTTACGTTGCTATACAAAATATAACATTAAAAATTCTTCTGGTAGACATGTTTCTATACTTTTCACTTAAATTATGAATGGTTATGCATTAAAAGTTTAGATCTTACACCAGGCAATACATCACCAATCCAATTAATGGTTTAAATGCATGACACAGAAAAAAATCTAACCTGAAGCAGCAAATGACTTGGTTTTCATGAGACAACTGTTATAAAAGAGTTATTGATAGTATATATTTCTATGTATTGCTTTTTATTAGTTATTGTATAGGTAATAATACATGTATATACTGGTGTCCGAACTGTATGTTGGGGATGTATCCCAAGGTAATTACATTATTCTTTATGGATATTTCCTAAGTCATTTCGCTATAAGTTGCATTACTTAGGACTGAAACCTGGATTTATAACGGGATCCTCTGTACTGTAGTGAGGTACTACAAGTGAAACTCACACTCCATCTAACTTACAGTCCCCATCTGACTATTCCATTCTTATGCATGGGCAAAGTTTACACTCTTACAGTCTTGAGCCCTCCATATTTACTGTTCTTATGGAGAAAAAACTGCCCTTTATATGTTGTTTTGCTTATGTCATGACTTTCTGGTCCCTAACTCTGACTTATAACAGTAACCTCCTGCACACATTTTGATACCTTTAAATAGAGCTGGCTTTTGTGGGAACAATCTGAGCAATATAGTAGTACACTATTCTACACTAGCACCCTGAAAAAAGAAAGCAAAGTAGAGACAGGACCAAGCACCATACCAATAAGGTCCTGGAGGCATGAAAATAGTAGATTGTGCACTACACCCATTAAAACTAGTCACAACATGTGACTATCTGTTCTCCTTTAATGCATTAATTTTCTGGAAGAAAGAAAGAATTGCTCAGAGCAACTTTTAAAATCCGGACCTTTGGAAAACAAACCCTGGCTATCTCTCTCCAGCAGTCCAGTGCCATTAAGTCACTGAAAAGCTTCACTTCATCCTGATGCTTCATTTGATAGACTTTTTCTAGCGATAGCAATAGCTCTTTCAAGTCCTGGCAGTCTATAAAGAGATAATTTATTCTCATGATGTATAAATCACTTCCAGAAAAATTGTTTCTTTTGGTATTGAGTATATAACAAGTTTTTAAGTGCTACTCTTATATCTAATATTTTTCCTTGCAGAGGGTGAAAGCACAAGCTTCACTCAAATGGAAAAAAAACTTACAAGTACAAAACTTTTTTTTTATTTTCTATGTTCAAATCTGCAAAACATCTAGAAAAATATACAACAAAAGCTTAACTTTGCACAACATTGAATTCTGAAAAAAAAAATAAAAGTATATTCACATTTCTTATTTCAACAATAAAACCACTCTATTTAGATGTCACCGCAGTATCCAGAGTCATTAGAGAGCAGCGAGTTTGGACTTCGACTAGTTGAGGAGTTCCAAATGTCCAGGTTCATGTGGGCCCCAAAGGGATCGAAACTGGAATACTGCTTTGGTCTGCAGGTCCCGGTTTGCTCTTTGACAAAATGTGACTGTGGACACTGAGGCACTGCTCTCTCCAGTTGGAAGTGGCTTTGGTAAGGTTCACTCTGCGGAGTCCATATGGAGCCAAACAGACTAGACATAGGGGACAGACTCCTGGTGCCTGAGAAGTATGGCTATAAAAGAAGCCAAATGGGAAAGGTGTTAGATGTTTTGTACAAATTAAAGTCATTATTGGTTCAAAAGTTCAAACAACAAAAATATAATCATTGTATTTTATTTAAAGAAAAATGAAATACAATATATAATATGGATATTGTAAAGGCAAATGCACCTAAGGCTATACATGAGGTTGTCAGCTTTCTGGTTCATCTTCACAGCATGAAAGTTGCAGAGCCTGACTATGTTAATGGCTCAAACTCTAAATGTTTAAAATGGGCTAAGATGAACCAAAGCTAAAAGGCTCTCCATTCCTTGCTCCCTCTCTCAAAATGCCAGGCAGCATTTGATGTGTATAGATTCCTGATAAAAGGAGATGAGATTTTTTTAAATGGAAATTGCAATCAATACAAGTATATTTGAATATTTTTTCAAAAACATTAAAATAGATCAAAAGATTAATACCTGACACAAACCAAAAGAATATTCACTGGCAAAAGGTAACAAAATTTGGAAACAACAATCACCCACCTTGCCAGGTCTTAAATATCATAAAAAGTCCCCTTATTGTGTGTATTAAGATGAAAAATAACATTAGCCTTCACTATTTTTAACCAACAGGAAAAAAACTGCTATGCTCATAATCAGTGAGGTATGCCACATCTGTATTGTTAACCACAGAAAAGAGGAAATAACCCTAGCAAATTAAGTCCATAATTCTTTCAGTCCAATAAATTAGGACTTCAACTCAACGTTGTTACTAACTTAGTTACCAGAAAGCTAATTTTATAGGAACACTGGGCACAAACTGTGATAATTAATAGGTATACTACAAAGGACAATGAGGAAATTTGACAAATTTGTCATTTTTAAAGCACATAAACTACAAAACTTTTACATTTGCAAAGTACTCCAAACACTCCCTAAAGCAAACCTGCTCTTTGACATTGTCTTTACTGTTGCTGTAAGTGGTCACAAAAAAATATCGCAGATAGTCAATACTCCTTTCTGTCTGTTTTCCCCTCTTATCATACATGTGAAATAAACAAATCTGATAAGTCTTATTTTCAACATTAATAGTTCATTTAGGTCCAACTCAGCTTTTGCAAGATGATACTCTCATTCCTTTCATTAAACACGTTCCACCCTAAGGGATGAGGGGCTCCAAGCACCCAATCATGTAGTTGAATCTGGCAGTCTGGCTTCTTTCAAAAAACAGCTGGAAGATCAATTAGCTGCAACAACCCAAGATAAGCAGACGGGTCTCCACTTACCTAAAATCTTACTTAGGTTTACCTGGGGCGGTGATATTTCTACCTAAAGCCCCAAAGTTGTTTCAAATGCATTTTATGTTCAGCTGTATTGTCATATCTCAGATGGATGGACTCTGGAAAAGTGTTAGTCAGCAGATGTCTCTGATTCAGCCTCACCTTGCTGCCAACACAGCCAGTGGTGTCCCAGGCAGAGGTGGCATCCTGGATATTATCTTCAGCCCAGCTGTGTTGAGGGGAGTAGGGCATGGTGGGTCTCTCTTGGCATGGGAAGGCATTCTGCAAATTTGCATTTCCTGGAAGAAACAGGCAAGGTTTTTAATTTTCATCTTTAAAATTATTACAGCAAATGCCAGATATTATTTATGAATACATGAACGCATGAACACTTACTTTACCATAAAAACAGTACATAACTAATTTATTTGGCTTACATTTTTTTTTCAGGTTTAACCAGTATATCATTCGAGATAAGGAGAAAGCATTTTCAAAGAAACACATACCCCTTTAATTACCCCTTTTATTGCCAGCATTTATGAAAATGAAGCACATTTTTAAACATAAAAATGTATCAATATCTTGATAGATAATAAATAAATAGTTCCCCACTGATCAATCTTTGAAAAAAAGAAATCCACATAGTATTTCTTCAATATATTCCTACCTTCTAGCACAGAACAGTAGTTATTCTGTTCACAGTAAGGGTATGGGAAGGTACACTGGGTATTAGCGTTACTCCACAGAAAGCTAAAACAAAACATTAACAAAAAAAAATTCAGCACATGCACAAAGTATAATTCAAGAACTGTCTAAACTTTCCAAACAACTAAAAGTCATTGATGAGGCACTTCCCAAAGAATTATGGGAATAAATAAGAAACACGCTACCCAGTTATGATTTAGCTGAAACCTTGGCTTCTTTCAAGAAATAGATTGATAAAATACTCAGATCAATTAACTATTAACTGCCAAACAGCACAGAGAAGCCAAATGGCTTACTCTCATTTCTTATTTTGGTGAATGCCACAGTAGTCTAATAATGCAAAGACACAGAGATCATAGACATATCTATGGAAACTGGTTGCTTAATATTGTTCAGGTGACAAGGTCTGCAGCTGTAAAGAAGCGACTTCAAATGCAGAAGTTGAAAAAACTAAGTCTCTGAGGCCTTGTACCTTTGGAGACTATTAAAAGGATCTTTGTCTGCTTAACTATACAAACTTTCTCATTTCCACTGAAGTGATATAAACAGAGAAGAAGAAGCAGTGTTCTTTTTACATGTCCAATCAGAACAGCACATCTCAGGCACTGTAGGCACTAGATCTACCAAAAAAGACAAATGTACCCATTGTAAAAACCATGAGAAGATCCATGAGGTATGCATGACAGGCTTTCTGTGGCATTGTATCTAAACTCGTTGGTTAAAGGAATCGAGGGTGCTGACCACATTTCTTCTGCTGAATAAGGACTTGACATCCCTAGGGGAAAAAAAAGTAAAAATTAAAACAAAAAAAAGCCCTTTTGTGAAAGATCCACTAAATGATAGATTCTGGATGTTTACCCATATTCCTTTCTACTCCAGCTGCAACATCAGCAAAGGTAGGGTTAAAGTTGGGAGCTAGAAGAGAGTCAGGGGTTTGGCACAGCTCCTTCGGATACAGATTATGCACGCTTAAATAAAACAACAAAGACAATGGTTAAGGTAATATTATTAACTTCAGATGATGGCATCATTTAAAAAATTACACAGGCCTCATCATACTCACTCTTCATACCTCTCTGTCCGGAAATTGGAATTGAGTGTCTGGCAACAATCTCTTTCTGCCATATAAACACTGGGCTGAAGGTCCACTATTAAAAAGGAAAATACAGAAATTAATCTTCTGTTCCATCTCATCTGCGTACACAGACTAACTTAAAATCATTAACTTTAGCTTATTAATCTGAGTTTATTTCTAAATGTTCTCAAATTGTTTCCATTACAAATCCTTGTGCAAAATCTTCCAGTCTTCTAGGGTTTAACCATTACAAACTCTAAAGTAATCCTCTCTGAACTCAAAGGGGTTGTAATTCTGCTTTGCAATTCTGACAGTTTTCTGACAATCTATATCCTCCACTAAAATAAATTATTTGTATTCCCTTCGCTTTATGAAGGTAAAGACAAGTTGCTTTGTCTGCTCTGAATTTTTAGATTTTAGATTATATCTCTGTTAGTATACATACAGTAATCAACAGCCTGCAGCAACTGAGAACAAAAAATATGGCCTGGCCAATTAGCTGGTTTGTGTCAAGTATTAAGTCCAAAACCCCACATGAAGCAGAAGCAAGGCTAGGAACAAGCAACTCAGAAAAGCCCAACAGCCATGGAATTTCAACACCTGCCTGGCTGTTTACCCATTACTTATTCCTTGGAAGGGTTGTGGCCCGTCCCTGGGCAGGAAGCCTGGCCCTCTCAGGACATGCACACACACCCAGGCACAATTTAGAGAGGTTTATCTAGCCAGCGTGTCCTTGAAGGTGTGAGACAGCTCGATTACCTGGCAAAAACCCACACGAATGCAGGGAGGACATGCAAACTCCAGAAAGGAGTTACAGTCCAAAATTAAACCAAGAGCCGTGATGCAGCGGTCCTATCAGTCTAACCACTGCACATCTCCAGAATTCAGGCAGTGAATGTAAAATTGCACAAATGGCACAGAGTTTCATTTTTTAGGACCATACAAAGATTACTTTGCAACTTAAAGGTAAAACAAGCATTCACAGATCAATCCAAGACTGAGAAAGATGGAAGTAAATTAAAGCATGAAACAACAGATTCAGAAAGACTTATTTGCAACTATGTATACAGCTTAACAACAGTCTAAATGAAGTACTGTGTTCAAGGATACAACGGTAGTGTTTCCACTGGGATTTCAACCCATAACCTTTGAGTAACAAGTACAGAACCCTGAACACTGCTCCACACTGCTGCCACAAGGCGGCAGATCCAGGTAGATTTTGCAACACAAAGGACACAAGCGAAACAGATCAGTGCCACAAAAGTGTAGTATGCAGTGTGTCCTAGGCAATAGATACAGCCACCCCAAGACAATGAGCGAGAGTGAGGTGGAACAGAGAGTAACAAGAACTTAAGTTTTTTCCCCCCACAGATGGAACCTACACATCCTACCAGCCATCTAGGTGGAAAGCATACATTAGGAGAGAGGCTGGAGCTCCAGGCTGATGCCTTGGGCATGAACACTGAGCAAGACAAGTGCTGAATTAGAACATACAGTATATCACCATCTATTGAAGGAACCTTTGAAGAGTTGAAAGCTAAAAAAAGATGATCCTGCAAGAATATTTAATCTGTTAAGTGTCTGTTTCTGAGGTGATATACCAATATTGTATCCCAATATCTGATGTTCAAAGATAGGGTATTCCATGCTAAAAATGTAGCAAGAATTTAAAAATATTTGTGTTGTTTATGTGCTGTGCAGCTTGTTATTAATTGCAGTTAATGATGGTTTTTACTGCTGTGTTTACTGAACCCCAAAACACTTCAAATGGCTTTTTGTGTTTGGCCATTTAAGTCAACTTACAATAAAGTCTACTGAACATGGAGGGGTCCCATTCATGCAGCAGGTCTACTAAACACTATAAAAAAATAAACATTTACACAAATCACTTGATTTCCTTATTAAGATGAGTATTCTTTTTGCTGTATTTGAGTCTTAATTGCACATTTTATTAAAGAGGCTAGAGAAGCTTTGCCATCGTACAGGGCTTATAATTTAGCTGCACTTTCTCAAGGCAGTTCAGCGCAAAACACTGAGCACCTGTTTGCCACTACCCTAGAAGTTACTGTACAGTTTACAGGCAATAAAGACGAATGACAAACTGGCTCAACCGGAACTGGAAGTCTTGGAGTTTTCTTAAGCAGGGGCAAACAATGAGTGTTCAGGTGAGTGGTGGAAACTAATTACAAAGAGACGTACTTTTCTTGGTTGAGGCAGGGCAGTGCACTTTGGCGCCATTGTGGTCCTTTTCTCCCTCCAGACTGCTGGCGCTGCTCCAGCTGCCCCAGCTGCCCCGGCTGGCTCTCACGCTGCCAGAAGAGCTGCCCGAATCCGAGCCAGACTCCCACAGCAGCCTGCGCTCCTGGCACTTCCGCCTTGGGTTCGCCCAGCACACGCCTGGATGGGAGAACCACACGGCTCTTAGCGTCTACCTCTGGCCTCCAGTGGGTCAGGTTATACCAGCCAGTCCATTCTGGGACAACTGGTTTGGCCCATCTTCCCCACAAATGTACTCGCTGAACTGCACTTCTGGACACAGATCACCTCATATTCATTCTGCTTTTTCCCCTCGCAGTACTTTTAATAATCAAAATTACTCTATAGCATAATGGGATACATGTTTGAATGCTTAACTTTTTACACATAAGAAAGTAGCATACACAAGTGTTTTACTTTTCTATAAAAAAAATGTATTGTTCCTGCTTTCCCCAAAGAAATGCAGAATTGCTACTCAATTGCCTTTACAAAGAACAACATTCTTTTAACTTTAACATCTAATTACCTCTAATCTAATTTTAACAGAAGGAAAATAAGCTGCTAGAATGTTATACACAAACCCTTCTAGGATACAATCATGGAGCCGATACAGTGAGAGAATACATACAGTACAACAGAAATGTGCAGAAAACTGTACTCACATGGCAAAGATGACCCCTAGTGTTAATATAAATTCGTTTTTTTCCTTAAAAGATTCCTTGGTGCATGCAGTAATATTTTTTCATATTATCCTTTTTATGAACATATAATTTGCCAAATACTATTTTAACATCAGAAATCTGTTGTTAGAACTCCTCAAATGAAGGAAAATGTATCATCCTTGTATGGCCACCACATACAAATCATTTCCCAAAAGTATTCCCTCTATATAAGTGACTTTTCCAACTATTAACAACATAACAATAATCTAAATAGCTTTAGCTCTAAGGACACAGATTATGGGATACAACAGTACTAGATCTAATTATTTTTAACAATGATCCATAAGGCATATGTTCAATGTTTACAACTGCTAAGATTGCTTGTAGAAACGTTTACAAATCTAGATTCCTGATAGGAAAACAAGACATACCAAGCAGGACAAATTAAGGACATGAAGACATACAAAACATTAACAGGACAGTTTCACTGTGCTTTGCCAGGTGAGAAAAGGGCATACATCCCATCAGATCACTACTCTCAAGTTGTTTTCTGAAACAAACCTCCAGGTACTTCAGAAAGCTCCACAGAACAAATATTGTTAACAGACAGGGCACGGTTCACCTACCATTCTGCATCTGTTTTACAGGGCTCTCTGGTACAGGTCCTGGTTTAGCACCGTCCTGCTTTCCATTACTGTAGCGGTTTCGTGATCGATTGGGGTTCCTATTTTCTCTCCATTCAATATCCCTATTCTTTTCTCCCAGCAGAGGCACACTGTGCTCAGGAACTCTGTATGAATGAAAAGAAACAAGATGAATGTGACTGCATCCATTTTTATCTCAAACCGCAGCCATCAGGTACAATAACAGTAACTGACTAAAAAAACAAGTACTATTCACCACATCCCCAATAGGAAAAACAAAGAGGTTGATAATGTCATGCAATGTGTGTTCTTCTGGTCTTCGAACCAAATGAGTTCTCACTTACTTAATTGGTTTCTTTTATCCTTTTCTCTTATTTCAGCTACATTCAACAGGTCTTTGGAATGTAACTGGATAACAGGTCTCATGCAAAACTAGGAACATGTTTTATGAGAAACATTTTATAATCTCCATTTGTCTATGCATTATTAATTGGTGGCCAATTAACTATTAGGTTACAAAAGTGGTGCATCACTTATCACAAAACAGGAGACTGAATTCACTTACCCAGTTACACCCTCCGTGGCCTTTTTTCTGTTCCTGCCTGTGTTCCTTCTTGCTTTGCCATTAACAGCAGTGTTGCCCAGTTCTGTTTTGTCAATGTGCTTTTTCTTTGAATTACTGTCTTCTTTTAGCTGAATGGACAGAAACAACAAAACATTACATGGCCTGTATGCAGGATTTGATTTTCCTTTAAGCTCTAAAATATCACAGGAAAAAAAAAACTGACAAAACTGCATGAATTCAGAAATTAAACTTTATATTCATTATTTCAACTTTCTGTATCATGTACCAACAGAGACCATAACTAACTTCACCTCCCGATAAGGGATCTCGATTTTAATTTTAAGAGGTTCAGTTGAAGATGATTCGGAAAGCATCAGTGTCATAACTAGGTTTTTAATCATACCAACCTCTGAAGATGGGGTGTCCTTTTTGTCACAACCCCTTTTCTCTGTAAACTGTGAGAAGGGGCCACACTGCTGTGCTGTGGAGGTGCTATCATTACATGACTTCTCAGCCGGGCTGCATACACACAGGCCTGGTCCACTGCCTGGAGTCAGAATAGTGTTCTCTGAGAGGCTTGAGTGCATTTCCATGGGAAACATAACTGGTGCCACTTCCTTATCTTCTTTGAAATTCGGAGAAGGTTCTTTCAAGTGTGTTTTACTCTCAGACAGGGCCGGGACCTCTGGTGTGTTATTACAAGCACTGGAGTCCTGGTCAGTGCAATGCTCTGAACTGTCTGGTTCTTTTGCTGCCTGAAAGTCATCTTCTGTGGTGTTAGTAGGTGTTGTAATGGAAGCTGCAGAGCTTACTTTGTATTTAGTATAATAAACAGAGACTTTATGTTTCTTCTGTGGCTGAGCAGGAGCTCCAGAGTTTTTCTTAGATGAATACTGGCTTCGAATGGGACCATTGGCAACAGCAAGAGACCCTTTTCCTTTGCTCTTGTCTGATGTATTGCAAGAATCCACAAATGTCTTACAGCTACCTTTCACTTTGCTGAAAAACAAAACACAAAAATCAAAAAGTCGCACAAATCTTTGATGACAAAGGTAATCTAATATTATGGCTACTTTAAGAGCCCTTAAAGATGGGAAAAAATGGCAACTGATCTAAAGACATTCAAAAGATAGCTGTAGTAAAAAAACAACTTTGCAATTCTAAATGGACTTTTGCACTTCATGATGGTTAAAGAACATCTATGTAAATAATAATAAAAATTGCTTACACTTATATAGCGCTTTTCTGGACACTCCACTCAAAGCGCTTTACAGGTAATGGGGACTCCCCTCCACCACCACCAAAATAGAATTCTGATAAAGTGTAGCAAGGCCAGATTTCACTTTCACAGTCTTTAACAATTCTGCTTGCCGTACTTTTAATTTAAGTTTTGTAAGCTGACCTTTAAACTCTATAAACAATGAGCTGTTAACTCATTGTAAATACTTACCATAAAAATAAAAGCGTTTTGTAATTTTTGACCAAACATTCAAAATTCCACGCTGAAAAAAAGGCAACTCACCTCATTGAATTGGGGCTGATTGTATCAACAGGGCTGGTGTCTCGAGCTATTATAGAGTTGTGGTTCTGCCTTGATCCCGGCGATGTAAATTCAGAAAGAATATACTGGGCTTGATAGAAGGCCATCAAACACACACCACCCAGAGAGAAACTGGGGGAAAACAACAATTGTATCTTTTCAAGAACTTTGCAATATTGCAAGACAAATCACAAAAATGTACATAACTCGCTAAAATCGGCTCACAACTAAATATACAAATACTTTAATGACCGATTAGTTGTTAAGGTGTCCAAACCACTGACATTTATACATTAACATTTCCTGATTATTTTTGCAGAGGACTGCAATCTTATGCAAAATTCAGTTCTACTACAGATCATAGCACCAAGTATACTCCCCTCTCACAAACTCTACAAAAAAAGATTAAGAATACACATTAGTCAAGAACATCCTTGGAAGAACTGCATTGTGCACAATAGCCAGTGTCCATGCCGTTTCCCTGCAGGAAATTTGTGAGCAAAGCACCTAGGAAGACCTACATCCTGACAGCATACTGACCATGTGAAAATGATGGTGACTACCCAGAAGGTCTCCTCCCAGCTGGGCCCGGGCACTACCTGGGCACACAGGGGCAGCATGTGATGGGGCAAGGTGACATTGAGAGTGAAGGGGAAAGTTGAGCCTCGAGCTGTCACTATAGTCAGGTCCCTGATCACCCAGGAGGAGGTAAAATCAGGAGTAAAACTGGAGGATAGAAAAGGGAGAAGAGGTGGTAAAACAAAACTCTTAACCTCCAATCTGTATTTAACTTAAAGGAATAACAGGGTCCAAAAGGGAGAACAGAGGCAGTTATATAAAGTCAATACGCTGGCAATTTTACAAAACCTTTTAAATTCACATTGTTTGTTTTTAAATGAAATCTGCTATTTACCAATGTGTCTGTAAATGCTACTAATTAACTAGGTTTTCTCTCACTGGTTAAATCTGATAAAGTTCCCCCAACAATGCCTAAATAACCACGCTTTAAACGACACATATAAAAACCTTAATACATACGCAATGTTGATTTCAGAAGAAGAGTTATAATCAAGTTGAAATGATCGACACTCCAGCACCTCGAATCCAAAACCCTGGCACTTGTATCCATTGATGTTCATGGACATTACGGTCAAAGGCAGCTCTCCAGCGTTTTCCACTTTAAAGCTCTTGCGAATTGCAAACAGAGGCTTGTTGGTTTTGAGCCCTAGATGAAGAAGGATAAAAATGTATGGTTTTACAGCACTGAGTCATACCATTAATCAGGTATATATCCGATTGACTTCTAAGACTAATATTGTCTACATATAATGGCACCTCTGCTGTACGAGCACAGACCAGAAGTGAGATCTAACTGCCAGAGGGGATCCTTCTAGTTAAAGGCCAGGTATGTTGAGCGTCATCTCCCTCGAAGAGCTGTTTTGTGCTGTACTCTCACCATCTCTGCACTCCATCAGCGTGGACTGCGGCACGTTGAAGCGCAGGGAGGCTCCAGCTCCCGGGAGCTTTCCTCCCACCCGCAGCAGCTCTTTGGCGCCATGGCCCTTCACCATCACCATGTCGAAGACTGTCAGGTTGTTCCTGAAATTCCAAAATAACACACTTACTGAGATGCACAGAAAGCCGCTAACCTAACCTGACCATTGTCCAAATAAAAAAAAAAAACATTTTTCTATGTGGCAAACCAAAAGGTAAGACTAGAATGTTAATATAAAAAAATGAAAAAACACCACCTTTACTATTAAATGTATAGTAATATACATCAGTATAGATCTAAAATACTGCAGATTCAGTTTAAGAATCGACTTAAATAAGATGATGTGTATTATGGAGGGAAACACTGGAAGACCTCAATTCTTCCCACAAAGATCTCAATTAAGGCTGCATGAGTACTGTTCACAGCCTGTATTGTTTAAAATTTTATCTCAGTTTCTAAACCTTCAAACCTTGATCTGATTTTACAATGTATACAAACGCATTAGATATGTTTACACCCACCTAAAACCATTACCGTGAATAAAAGTCTAAAAAAACTAATCACAATTACAGATAACTAGAGAGCGCATCTATGCAATACATTATTTCTACAGAAGCTCAGGAATTAATGTGGTTACCTGATCAGTATGACTGAAGTCACAGATTTGTGCTCTACAGGTGTAAATACTACACCAATCTCTTTCTCTTCCCATGGCTGAAGATGTAGCAGCAATTTTCGAGCTCCTTTCTTGACTTTGGTCTTCCTAGTGTCCTGTTTCAATATTTACAACACAAAAAAATAAAACTCTTGAAACCATGAACAATGTTATATTAGTCGGAAAACAAAAGAGAAGCGAACAGCACTGAACAAGGTCCATCACCATAGTCTGAACTGACAACAGGGCTAAGGTGCCAGGAATCTCACAGTAATATAGAGTAATAATCAGTTTTTAGATTTTATGAAGAATTTTGAATATCACAGGTGATTTTCACACAATGAATATAGTTTTAGGAGGGGACATACTTTGTGGGTTTTTATAATAGCAATTTCAAATGCAAAAATGATTAACATGTTTAGCAAAATTATTTATAGCATCACACATTTCTCTTCATTGCACAACAGTGATTTCATTGCTTCACAGCCACGGAAGTGTTGCATATTGTAAAGACACTGTTCAGTGTTGCCATCTAGTGGTGCAATACATTACAACTACTGTATAGGCAAAGTCAAAAACACAAGAATTAACACTTGCATAAGCTATACTAATGGTGTATTTTTTCCAAAGTATTTGGAGGGCTCCTATAACACCTAACACCACTTTAAAACTGTACAAGACAAGTCATTTTTATAGTTTAACAAATGAATTCACAAAAGGATTTCACAAAAACATAAATATTGACATTCCAACAGACTGGCTGATCAACCTCAGTGAGAGGCTGGATAAAAGAAAACAGACCTGATGGTCTTCAGTCACTAGCGTAAACTCTCCTGTGGTCACGTTGACAGACAGTGGGTTTATCTTGAACCTACAAAACACAAACCACTTGTTAGATAAAAAAGTAAAGGATAATAGCCTAAAACAAAAACATTTACCTTTATTTAGGCAAACAGATGTTAATTTAATAAAAAGCCTGGGCATTAAGCTTGAAGAGAGAATGAAGTTTCCATTTTATCTCAGCCAAGAGTACACATTTTTGTGCTAAACACAACCAGCTTCATAAATCTTACTTATCCACTTTATGGTGAATGGAAAAAAAATTGCTGGTGATGTGTAACTAAATTGGAAGTCTTAAACTAAGCCAAAAACTATTAAATTCAATGTGACAAGCTCAGGAAGAAAAAAAGTACTCAAGTACCACTTTGTCAACAAATCGAGAGCTTCCAAAGGAGCAGGATATGAGGACAAGGCAAGGAGCTGAATGGTCACAGGAGAGGCTGAGGGGTTCTTCAGTGCAAAGTACTTCACCTAGGAAATGGGAAAATGCAGATCAATGCTTCTCGGTTTGTATTGCAACTAAAAGAATGACCTATGTCAATTCTATTTGGGCAGTCATCGTAAGACATTGCAACATGTACTGGCTAAAAGAAATAATACACAAATGTCTATTTGGGCAGCCATCATTTCAGAAACGGTTTGGCTAGTCCAGTGAAAATGAACAACAAGTTAAAAATAATCAAAGCCTTTTCTTACACTGAGAAAAATGCCTTTGAAATCAGGGCTCACATGAGAAAAGCTGGGATTGCACAAATGTTTTATTCAAGTGCATCCTGACCGCCAAAAAAATTTATTGCATTAACTTCGGAGCATCACAAAAAATAATGCACTTTTTGTTGTTCTTGTAGCAAGGTGCAGAGTGTAATTAAAGCTACTATTAATCTAAGACAAAATCATTAAAGGTACATTTTTCCTTAGAAAAACAAGATATACACTAGCTGCTTAAATAGTGTTAATATCATAATCACTATTGCACAGTGACTAAAACATTACCTTGAGAAAAGGAGAACCTTGACTTACCTTACTCTCATTAACTGGAGTCGCACCAAAGTCAAATGGGTAGCTTGTTTCCATAGGTAGTCGAGGCCATCTGTAAAGAAATACGGTTCTGTAAACTCCACCAGTCTGAGCAACCATTACTTTAAAATTTGATTCCAGTGAGTTTTGGATATTTTAATTCATAAAACATTTTAGAGAGAGGAAGGATTCCCTATCCCTGACCAGAAATACAGGAAATACACACCAGCTTGTTTTTGTAACAACCAAGCCCCGGTACATATTCAAACCCTTAACTGAACTGATGACCGATTTGTATGGTTTGACATTTTTCAGCTTGGGAGTTTCAATTATTGCATCACATAAGAAAAACAAAATCCTGAACTTTTGAGAAGAACACAAAATTTGCAAATATTTGAATCCAGAAACTTGGTAGTTCAAGTGAGGCTTCAATTAATCTTTAATGGAATAAAAACCAGGAAGCATGTGGTGCTTCAGGGCCAACACCGAGAAACCCTGTTCTAGACAAAATATAAAAGCAATAAGATATAATCGGAGTTCAAGCACTGCTTTCTGTATATCTCCTAAATAAGACATTAAAAGGTAAATGCTTATGTGGTCATGCTTAATGCATTCTGGATATTCAGTTCTCACACTTCTATAAGCTCAAATTAAGTGAGATCATTGGTGGGGAAAAAATAAACTCTGGAACGTATTAGGTATGACACTGTGTCATGCATTGTTAACGTATAATACAAATCAGAAGTTAGCAACGGTCCGTTTTAAAATATTTTTCACATTTTTGAGGTCACACAAAGATAAAATAGAAAACATACAATCCTGATCCTTTGTTATATAGAAGCAAAGTCCTGCCATCCCTAGATCACTCAATGTATTGCTTTCTTTCTTAGCAGAAGAGTCAGCTGTCAGTTGCTAGCGTTGGTCAGAACTCAGAACTGAAAACCAAGCAATTTCCCCATGGAAACTAAATATCAATGCAAAGCTTTGTCACTCCGTTGCACTATTTGTTTCATCTGGCAGAGATGAAATGAGGAATGAACACTGTGCTCAAGCCTAATGGCAATCATGGAAAATGTCTGGCTTTTCACTAACAAGAGTGTACCTGCAGGTTAGGTGGTCCTTCTGGCTCTGCCACTGTGTGCAGATCTCTTTGGCTAAACTGTTATCCACCCTCCAAGTGGAAGAGTCCAGGAGCAGACTGCCTGGCCACTGAAGCCGGCCTGCCACACACAAAACAGTTGTAATAAACCCACAAGTCCCCTCAGATGCACAAGTCGCTGCCCTCAAACTATCTTAATCAAAGAATTCAATTTAAATTATTACAATAATATACCACAACCATGGTTAGCATGACAAATATGATACATACTGTACATCTGTAGAGGACTGTAAGTTTCATATTCCCTTCTATATGCTGTTGTTCTTTTGCATTAGGATCTACGTGCTTGGGGAAGTTTCGCACAAAAGCAATTCAAATTTCCATTTTTCCTTATGAATCTACAGCTAAAATAAATTCCTCATCATTCTTCATGTAAAATCTAATTTAATTCTGTGATCACTATACATAAGACATCTTTTCTTAATAATAAATTATCTGCCAAATACACACAATGGTAAACAATAAAACAAATCACTTCAGCATCAAAAGCAAGAAGGGATATTAGATGTAATTCTTAAATCATTGAAGATTTAATGAAACCAAAGATCTAGCCCCATTCCAATCTTAAACCAATGGACCAGTTTTTAACCTGCTTTAGACAATCCCAGTTGACAAGGGTTACCACACTCTCCATTGGCTTCAAAAACAAGGTCCCCCTGCTGGAAAGAAAGATAGCATATGAGCAAGGAATTACTAACTGGTGACCCAAAACTGACCCAAATACTGTTATCTGAAGAACCAATGTTGACGCTTTCTGAGTCATGTTTGGATGACTAAGCTTTAGTTTCTTCCTAAACAGTGAATAACAAAAATAGTGCATCATGTTAAAGGATGACCACATCTACAGTAAATGTTTAAATGATTTTGTTACCTTTAACAGTTGCCTGTTGGCTCTTACACTAAGTTAATGGTGCTGCACCAGACAAGTAAAATAAAAACTGAACAAATGACTATGATTTTTTAAACATTTTCTAGAAAACAATATATAGCATCAAAACCCTACATCAAATGTGCAAGAAACAATTACTTTCAAGTGGTAGGGTAGCTTGAAATACATAGCAGACATTGGAGATCAGAAACAAGTACTGTGCAAAAGAGAAAGGAAAACCGATCTTACGTTTTCAGAGCTATAACACTAAAGATCGGGGAGTAGTAAGAGTACAGTACAGATTATTTCATTTTGGTTCCTGACATTTGCCCAAATTAAAACAGAATAACAAGAAACAGTACCTTTGAAACACTAGAGCGAATCTGCAATGGAATCTGTAGAGAGAACCCAAGGCTGGTAACTACAACCAGACCAGTTATCACATTCATAGGGATTTTCATATTAACAAACTTCATAGAGAACACTTTCCAGCACCCAGGAGGCACCGACACTGGGCCACTGAAGTTCACAATCTGAAAGGCACACAACAGGTTATTAAATCAAAACCATTATAGTGTAAATCAGGACAATCAAGATCAGTAGGTTCATAAACATTTATTTAGATCTGTCAATTATAATATTTTATATAATCAATAAATTTTTAGATCAAACTGAAAAATATAGATAGAGTTTTCTTAATGAAAAAGATGATAGTTTGTATGCCTATCATGTTTTAAGTTATCAGCCCTGTTGGAAGTGTTGTTTGCATATATGTAGCAACAATGTGTAGCTGTCAGAGAGAGGAAGAGGACAGCAGTGCTTTAAAGACTGAACGCTTCTGTCTATCTGGTAGCTGCAGGCACCAAGGAAATGCATTTACCTTTAACAAGCTCTCCATCTCTTGGTGCATAGTGACATCAACAACAGAAAAGCGGAAGTCAAAACCATTGGTTAACCATACATCCACATAGTCTCCGCCATTCTGTTTTTGTTTCATGTGAAATAAAGTGGGAAGATCATAACCAGACCTCCTGAAAAAAAAGTAAAACACTTTTGTATTCTTTTCAGCCATAATAACATATCCCTAGCTCATATAACTCTATGGATATATTTTATAACACCACTTTGAAATAAACAATTTATCCATAATTTTACATTTTTCCAATGTAATTTTGTTTATTACATTTAAAGAAGCAAAGAAGCAAAAGAAGTGACTCACCCATTTGTTATGTCAAATGCAGGATATGATTTTAATGTGTAGCTGCCTAAGATTTGCAAGCTGATTTGACCAGTGCATTTTCTCTCGTGAGTAGGTAAAGTTCCTGAAAAAAGACAATTCACATTTGAAAGATGCCTTTATCCAAGGTAACTTACACCAATAAGTAACAAAAAGAGTATAAAAGGATACAACTATATTAATAATATCTAAAAAGTATTTACAGAATGTATACAGCACACTGTACATACAACATCCATCCATTTTCTAAACACTCCATCCAATTCAGTGCCGCAGTGAACCGGAGCCTATCCCAGCAAGTAACAGGAGAAAGGGGGATGGGACACCAGTCCATAACAGGGCACACACATACAAACACGCATAAACTTCAATAAATACTGTGTGCAATCTTTTTTCTAGATTCTTCAAAATAATATATTCCTAGAAATAAAAAAGGACTACATTGAGCACCCAAACACTAGCACCCAATTGTTTACTGAAAAAAAGTACATTTTAAACCAAAACACAACATACATACCACTGCAAATTAGCGAAGCAACATGTGTAAAATTTGTTGCAGACGCTCCCAGCTGAACTTGCTGAAATTTTAGCTTATTTTCCATTCTGGAAAGAAGCTGCATTTCCTGCAACAACAACAAAAAAATCAAACTACTTCTAACACCATTGGAAAAAATAGTGATAACAGATGGAATGCATAAAATTCACAAATATCTTGCTTACCTTTACATATAAATGCTTGACTCCAGAATTCAAAATAAAAATGTTAATTAAGGGCTCCCCTATAAAATTAAAGAAAAGGTAAAGATTTTAGTTTTTGTAAGGACTGATAACTGATAAACTGATCCCCTATTTAGTGGAAATTAGTTATTTTAATCATTCACGTGAAGACATACTTGTCAATACATATTTGTAAACCTGTGACTTAATGTGCAGTGTAACATCAATTAAGCAGTAGAAAAGAGAGGGTGTATAATCACTGTGCATTCAGGAGGCCTCAGCTGGTATTAACCTTAGAGAGTGCATTCTGCAGCCTGTAGAGGGCACTCAATGACCAACTGGGAAAAAGCATATGCACCAAGATCAACTTTGCACTTACTCAAATAAACCAAACCTATAAACAGTTCAAAGACATGAAAACAAACCATTGCCTATGTTAAAAAGGTACCAGAGAAAAGGGATGAATCTCAAGAGATTTCAGTGCTTTCCAGCTCTTATTCAAAAAAGACAGGCATGCCTATCTCTGAAATCTGCCCCAGGGGACAAGAATTGGTCCTTCCCCACCTCTGCTCAGGACTCCATCTGTACCAGTATATGTAGCCCAGTACATTTAAGCTCATTTTAAAACGTGAAGCAATTTCACTACATTTTCGATACTACGAGGTTCATCTTCAATGGCTACTCATGTTGTGTGAAATGGGGCCAGTACTAGGCTGTGTTGCTGGGGTTTGGTCAATATGCCATTGCCTTCTCCAGGGGAAATCCCTTTCAAAGGTTTCTTCTCTAAGAAGGCTGTTCAGTCTTCAGAGATGGGGAGTTTCAAAATCTAAGGGGTGGCGTTAAGACCCTGGATAAAATGTTTCCAAACTTCAGGAACCAACCGAACCCAGCAGCAACAGGCCTGGTTTCCCAGTCGAAAGAGCCCTCCATGACAGAGGCCCTGTTCCTAAAGAATGCAGCACCCAAGATTCCAGAGTTCAGTCTGTTTGTAACGTATCTGTGTAAGGGAGCTACACCCATTGGACTATTACTTCCCTGTTCTGTCACTTCAGGTTTTTGTGCAAGAATACCATTCCAGCTTTGCAGTGGTGCGAAAATGCCCTAACCATCTAAAACAACCACTAACTGCTGGAACTGAATAACTGATTATGCAATTCAAACCACACTAGTAAAACGAATATTGAGAATACAGTACACTGCTGGTTAAAACCACAGCTTGGAAACAATTAGCAGAAAAGTCTGAGGGGGCAGGTGAGAATCTCTACAAGGCTTTTGTATTATTGTTCTTGCAATTCACTATGACACTAATTTCTAAGTATACAGGATCTTCTTTAAACCTAATGTTTCTTTTTAATGTCACCATCTCAGCACCTAGTAAGTACTTTGTACACGTTTACTGAACTGATCTAAAACTATGATAGCGTGTGACTCTTGTGAGCTACACAATGTGTTAAAATTAATTTCAAAGTAGTCCTTGACATTTCAAAAATATGACAAAACACATCACTTAATCTACTCTAACATCACACCTATCTAAAACTCTTGAACTTGAAGGTAATTATGTTTTACTTACACAAACCATTTTCTTCTGAAAATATAAATACAACCATTATGTTCTCCAGTATATACTGCTTCAATTTTTCTAGATCTGCACGTTTTTCTCCTCTCTCAGACAGGCTGATATGCATTACGAGCTTCTCGTCTGTCATAAAATAGAACCCCTGGGAAATAACAGGAAAACACTCCACTTACACAAAGAAAAACAGCTTCCATAGCAAAGAGGAATACAGCACAGTTTACAGAACAGTACAGTAACCTGTTTACCATTTCACACAGGAACAGTGTCATGCTGTTTGCCTGCTGGGTGACTAATACTCTTTAATTACAAATCTGTAAACTGCATGTAATGCACAATACAAACACACCTGTAACATGTACACTGACATGTTATGTAGTAATGCTTCACAGCATTTTTAAAAAATGTATAGAGTATATATTGTATAAACTAAGCAACAGACATAGGTGACTGTTTTTATACGGACTGCTTCTGTTAACTTTCTTAAGCAGTAAAAAGGCTGTTGTAAAACTGCTAGAGGATGGGCACAGTATTGGGTCCCAAAAACACCTACACATAACATAAACTTAATAAAATCTCTTTTATTAAGTTAAATTAATTAAAATTTGGTTCCTGGTTGTATTGAAAAAATGCCTACTCATAGTTTCTGAAAGTCACAGCAGGGTACTAAGAATAGAAAGAGCACAACTATAATAGAAAGTGAAAAACTGCAAATCCCTATTAAGATTAAAATAGCACGCCTATTATGACAAATTATGTGACATTTACACAGTATAACAGGAAAAATAAATTGAGCTTGTATTCAAATACTATACGATCATTTTCATTCTAATCATGTACAAGAAAACCTGAAGAAGGCTCCACAGCCAAAATGTTTCTATTTTTCTCTTTTCAGCATGGAATAAACCTTTACTTATTCCATGTACAAGAAAAGCCTCATTTTGTTTTTAATTAGATTATTGGCAGGAATCTGCTACGTCCCTTGTTTCATAATCGCTCTGTCTACTACTACAGTAGTCCAAGTTTGGTTTAATTTAATCAAGACATATCTACAGTAAAGACTGAAGTTCAACTTTTAGTTTTTTTTTTACCTGAGGATATTTGTAGCTCTTGTTGGGCAAACTACATTCCAACCGTAATCCCAAGATACTAATATTTGCTGCATCTTCCTGTAAAGCCAATCATGTACAAAAAAACACATCACAAACACTGACAGATTACTACATATATGTTAAAACAGCAAGTATATTGAGGATTTTGGTTCCTAGCAGATAACATATTACATACCTACTGTAGTTAGCCATCAGCCAAGAGCTTACCCCTAGCATGGGCTGAATAGCCTCTCCATATGTAACATTTCTTATGGCACATTTAGTTCCTTCTGAATGCAATGTAGAATTCTCAATACCTTATTATAAACCATTAAAAAAATAATGTGATTTTTATGTGAATAGTGATTGGAAGATGTATAAAAAAATATATGTATTAGACAGTAGGTATTGATTAAATGTTTTGGGCAAACATTTTGATTAATTGATCACTCGTGACTGTGATACACTTGAGATTTCAAAAGAATAGCAACTTTGTGATGTCACTATGCTGAATAAGGCTGGACTAAGCCAGTGCACTGTTGCTCACCGTCTAAGTTGTTCGCAACCAGCAATTTCTAACAATATTAAGATGTTACAGCCAAACAGATTGTCAATTGCCATAATCTGAGAGATCATGACCTTGCCTAAAGTAATGGTGGTTACACAAGGCGAACACTGGTTTTATGTTGCACAATATCCAAAACAAATTTTGTTTTGTAAAAACAGGAAACACAAGAAACAAAGATAAAAAACACAAATGCAAGGAACTTCAAACTGAAAAGAAAGAATATATTTTCTCTGTGCTGAATTTCAAAATACAATGCCATAGTATTTTATTAAGAATTCATCAACACCAATCATAAAATGCTGTTTTCAAAAAGATGTTGAAAATGAAAAAGGACAGATCAGATAGTGAAAATAGACGTGCTGCAGATTGCCGGCAGGTATCAGCCAGCCACTGACTTCCTGTGAAAACGGGCAGATCAGATCCCACGAGTTATATATGCACTTTCACTAGCTTTGTTTTCAATACTGGTTCCTGCAGTTAACCCACTGTCACATACTAGTACTGACAGTCTGCAGACCTCAGCTGCTACAAGATATCAGATGTCAAGCAGTCTCTGCACCTGGAAGAACACTTACTGTAGTAAGTCAAACAGAAGATCAAACAACGGATAAGGTAGCAAAATGAAAGGAATTACAGTATACCTGAGTCTGTGTTAATTTGATGCTTTGAATATGTGGAAATATTAGCATACTAGATTTCTTCTGAAAGTTTTTTAAAGTGCCATGGTGGACTCCAACTCCAAATATCTAAGAAAAACAAAAATATTACTTCATGCCAACACAAATTGGAAATATACAGTACAGTAACAATCTAAACATGTTATCCTTTGAAGAGTTACTATTCTGAACTCTCAAATATGGTACTAGCCATGCACACATGGCAAGATAATTGCTTAATTCACTGATAATAATAATAATTATTATAATTGCTTACACTTATATAGCGCTTTTCTGGACACTCCACTCAAAGCGCTTTACAGGTAATGGGAACTCCCCTCCACCACCACCAATGTGCAGCATTCACCTGGATGATGCGACGACAGCCATAGTGCGCCAGAACGCTCACCACACATCAGGTATCAGTGGGGAGGAGAGCAGAGTAATGAAGCCAATTCATAGATGGGGATTATTAGGATTATTAGGCCATGATTGGTAAGGGCCAATGGGGAATTTGGCCAGGACGCCGGGGTTACACCCCTACTCTTTTCGAGAAACGCCCTGGGATTTTTAATGACCACAGAGAGTCAGGACCTTGGTTTTACGTCTCATCCGAAGGACGGTGCCTGTTTACAGTATAGTGTCCCCGTCACTATACTGGGGCATTAGGACCCACATGGACCACAGGGTGAGCACCCCCTGCTGGTCCCACTAACACCTCTTCCAGCAGCAACCTTAGTTTTCCCCAGGAGGTCTCCCATCCAGGTACTGACCAGGCTCACACCTGCTTAGCTTCAGTGGGTTGCCAGTTGTGAGTTGCAGGGTGATATAGCTGCTGGCTCATTGCTTCCCTGAATGGATAACCATCAGAATACAGACTGTGGGAGGCTTCTACAGTACATGCAATGGCAGCTCAGCGTGTCCTCATTTTACTATGAATACTATACAAACGGTGAGTATGTGTGTTGCCTGATAAATCAGTTAAGGTTCTTAAATCCAAAGCATTTGAATGATACACTAAAGACTGACACAGAGGCAGTCACTTGTTTTCTGACGTCTTAAAACAATCACAACAGTGGGAACGTGAGATTTTTAAAATATGCTTTACATGTTTGGTATCTTTAACCATAAACACAACATTCCTCTTAGGAATCTCCCACGGTTGTTTGCCCCTTACATGTATCACAACTGCCTCAGTCTCTAAGTTGTACAGGAAACCAAAAAACCTCCGCACACCCTTTACCCCTCTATGCTCTTTGGTTTACAATATTCTGGTTTGAGGGCCTAAGCCATAATAATATATGATTTTCTCAGTTTTGACTAAATTGCTACTGACCTGGTAGGAGAGTACACCATGAGAGGATGTGTTTATAAATAATGAATTTTCTACATTTCCTTCCTGTGATGGAAGGAAGATAACTTTAAATGATGTCCGGCCCTGGGGAGGGATCACCTGAAACAGACATGATCAAACAATTAGAAATGGAAAATTGAAGTAATAACTGTTGATCAATGCAGAAAAAATGGTTCCCAGAATTACCTTAAGAATTATGTTTTATATTAGCACTGATTTCTTTAATCAGTTAAATTTGCAAGCTTATAACAGCTTATATGTTGATCTCTTAATACTTCTCAATAATTTGCAAATGATCATGATCAGCTCAGGCAATATTTTTCAGTGTAATGAAAATCTTTTTTCTTAGATTATTACATTTTAACAAGGTTCTCTATATACTGTACCAGACAAAACAAGACTGACTTTTTAAAAGTCCATGACCTTGCAGGAATAAACTGAAGAAATTTCATCTTTTTATCCATTTAATCCATAAAAGGTCAACTGAAATTACCATACCACTGTTATATGATTTCATAACATTACAAAAGAAGTTAGAATGAAGCAAATTGAGATTGATCATTCACATAAAACTGTACATATATAAACTAAACTTCCTTTGAATTTATACAGTATTTCACATATAGCATGGGGACAACATCTATATTTACAAACAGAATGAGACACAGCCATTCTGTACTGATAGCTCACTGCACAGCATATCATGTGGGAAGGTAAGAAATGACTTTGCCATTTGCAATAAGGGAGAAATTATAGTAGGCCAGGCCTTAAGTGGATGCTTGCCAGGACATTGGGGATAATATTTCTACTCTTACAAATAGTTCTGTGGGTTCTGTGTGATGACAAATATTAAAAACCTTGGTTAATATCTTATCTGAAGGATGGCCCTTCCCACAACAAGTCCCCTGTCACCATACTGGGGCACTGGCTTGGAAATTCTGAACCAGAGGGGAAACAGATTGTAAATGAAGGCCGTGTACAAAAAGACAAAGACATCAGCCTGGAATTTTGGAACCAAAAATTGTTAATGTAATAACCCATTTGTAGACGTAAAGATGGTTTAAATAATATTCACACCCAATTGCATAGATTACTTGTAATGGTTTCCTGTTACCTTCAGGAAGCTATTTATAGAGCCTATGTGGTTGTTCAGCTGTCTTTTTTAACTGAAACTGACAGTCTGTAAGTCCTGTAACCAAACATCTTCACATTTTGTCAAAAATACAAAAATGCATATCTTAGTTTGAAGCACTTCAAACTAGTTGAGAAATTACAAAAGAAGCAACTTAGCAAGCCTTGTTGATTCATCAAAACTGTTAACTGTTAAACTAAGGCTAAATCCGTTACAAAATGTAAAGGCTGTGACACTATGTAATCTGTTTCAATTCTTATTACTTGGAATTATATCCTACATAGACTGACATGTAACAACCCTAGCAGCCTGCTGTCGGTGCTCCAGCAACCACCTGGCAGCACAATCTGTCAGCATGGACAAGCAATCCTATTCCAAGTGACAAATTCCAGGCAATATCCAATCAGCACACTACTGCGTCACATAAGGGCTGGCTGTAAAGTAAAAATGGTTAAAAACTGATACCACAAAAACCATAGTTGCCTGGAATCAGCACAGAGAAGGAACACTGAATTTTCTTAAGTTTAACTGTCAATTAAATGCTTTTTAATCTGGTAGTCGATTGTAATAGAATATTAAATGATCACAATAACAGTGTAGGTAATGCATAGCAATGCATCTGATTGCTCTTTTAGGGACCGATTCCAGATCGCCAGTATCTAATTGTTGATCATCATAAAACTGCATATAATTTTATAAAAAGAGCAAAACCAATCAGCACAGGAGCATTATGAATGATTCCTAACAGAATGATTCTCCAAAGGGGTTTTCCTGTTTCTATTTCATCTTCTTAATTATTTTTATTATGTGACATAAGCTTGTAAACATATTTTTTACAAGCCCTTAATGACTAAGGAGTTAAATGAAACAACAAAACCTGCAGGACAACACTGGACTTCGCTACCACTTAAATAAGCAAATGGAAAGCCATTTGACTGCTTTCGCCATCTCTAGGAAGAAAGATGAAGTTTTCATTTCTAAAGTTATCAAACACTGTTATAAATGCCCAGACATTTTGGTTGATAAGAACAATCTACTAATCTTGCGCCAGAATCATTACCATTTATCCTGGAAGCCACTGAGAGTGTGAACTGGGAAACAAGATGTCCTGCTCCAAATGATTCTGAGCATGTCATCGGTACTGTCTTGTGTTCCCACCAATTCCCTGGGTGAGGGATAGGTTTTTTTTTGGGGGTTCTGGGAGGGGCTGTGTAATGTGGTTTGTGGAATTGGGGTTACACCAATTTTTTATACTTCAATCTTGCTGATTTTTTTCTGCACTTCTCTCCACTTATCAAATTCAAGTTTATGCGTTTTATTTCAATTCCGTATATAAATCTATCACATTCTGTGCATAACGCTGAAAAAAGAGCTGTTATCAAAGGACCCTGTTACACAAGTCAATGCCCAGTCAATCTATTGCCTGTGACATAATGGAGGGGGACTTTACCAGACACAGCAAGCACAAAGCACATAGCTCACATTGAGGGCGAACTGCTTTCAGTTCAGCCACACTCAGACCTACTGTACGTCACATGAAAGCCTCAAAAAATAGTTTCCAAGCAAAAACAGTTGCTTTTTACTGCTTATTTGTTATCTTAGCAAGTCATAATTATTGGTAGGTAAGTCAGATCAATACATAAAATAAGGTTCCAAGAGCAAAAATCTTTTAAAGTAATTCTCCCATTGATTACAATTAACTACCAAATCAAAGTTCAGGCAGCAGTAGGGGTACATTTTAACCAATTAATTCACCAGAGCTGACAGTCAAGAGACATAGCAGTTTGCTGACTGGATATATTCTGGAGCTTGTCAGTTGGAAAAGGACTGCATTCTTCGGCAGGTTCCTAGGGATGGTACACAGGGCAGTCTATAAAGTTTATGGCTACAAGGCATAAAAGCTGCCAGCCCACTGTACCGTGTAGCAAAGACCTTAGAATGCAAATATTAATATTTTCTCGCCCAATGGCAAAATCAGTTTTTATGCAACGACTTTCTCCACTAAAAGTTTGACTTGTATTATAATAACATACATTATTATCATGATTTAATTGCTGCATATAGTGCACATTACCCTTCTGTTAAGCTCAGGGGCTTTCTCAAATACTTTTAGAAAGCTAGTTTGTTTCAAACCATGTGAGTGATACAAGTATTATGATGTTAATACGTAGTTTGTGAGGACTCTACAATATACAGTATTTAAAAAAAAAATAAAGACAGAAATGTCAGTCTCTGGAATAAAGATGCCTGCAGACATCTAGCAATCAAACCTGCCTCCCAAGAGGCCAAATCAGACAGCGAGGTCAAGTGGAAATAAGAAAGACCCCTGTCCCTGCAGTTTATCAGATGGTGAAGCCGCTGCAGATGTGGCTGGAGCAAATACTCACCCTTCTCTGGAATGAAGGCATGTGAAAATGTCTGCTGGATGTAAACATTGATATCAATGTCACTGGTAGTTCCTGGCTAGGGTTGTGCACATATATTGTTTCAGCTCTTGGCAGCCCCACAGGCCTACAGAAGTTAAGTAAAGAAAACAAAACAGTTCATGTACTGTATGTGAAATATGGATGCTTATACAGGCAAACAAATGCTGGTTTTATGGCATTTTCCATCATTGAAGATATCACTTCTAACAAAACATTTTCCCATTTTTACGATCCGTGGTAAAGTTAAAATGTTGGTATGGCAGTTTTGTTTTACTTCTCCTGCATACCCATCTTCTCCACAGAAACAAAGTATGACTGTGGGCAAATAAAGATATTTAGTACATTTCTGCCAGCAGCTAATCTTGAATGTGTACACTTTAAAAAAAACACCCATGTTCAAAACCTTTATGTCAACTTGCTAAAATAATATTAAAATTACATCTGTGTAAACCCTAGCTAAACGCCATGCCTATTTATGACAATGGAAGCAACTGTATGAAATATATATATTAACTCTATTAAAGAAGACATTTCACAAAAAACATTTCAATTATGATTTACAGTGGCATTTGTAATAAGTACAATATCTAGCGAAAAAAGATAGTAGCATTCTACAGTATATCCTCTTCTAGCAAATGTGATGCATGCATTTTCACCAATTAAAACCTTTTACTTTTACAGGTAGAAGGTTTCACTCAGACTTACAACCAAACTTAACAGAACTTTTCAGAGTCTGCATTGCCACAAAGATACCCAAGCACTTAACCTTTCAAATAGTTGTCCTCAACATAATGAAAAAGAAACTGCCTTATTTGGCTACTATCAGTCTGTGCTCTAAAGTACTACAAACCTCTAAGTTTGTAAAGCACTGCAGCTATCCATATTAAATGTAATGTACCATTTGGGTTATAATTATAGGTGTATGGGAATATTTTCAAATCTTTCTGATAAAACACAGATGTTGTCTTTGGTAAAAGAGAATTTGTAAAACAAATCATTTTTTTATCCTTCCCTAATAAACATTTCTGAAGTGTGGCTTGGGAAGTATGAATGTTATATAGGCAAATGTTATCTGGGTTGTTACAATGACATAAATGCACTCAATTTCACCAGCAAGCAGACAACAAAGGATCATTGTGGCTCCCGATTCTAAAAATGTTCCTTATTCTTTGTTTAAAAAATCTTCTTTCTTATTTCTTTTACAAGAGTATCAGCAACAACTAAGACAATAAATGCACACAGGACGTGTGAAATGAAGTGCAGGTTCTTCGGTGTGGTCAAGCCCACATCTACAAATAACAGCTGAGCTACCGGTCACTTAAGTACTATTGCAATTGCTAATGGAGACACGACTTACTGTGTTCCAAAGTCCAGAACAGATGGCTGGAAATGCAAGGCTCTCCCACTTGGCACATAAAATGAAGAGCTGAGGAAAGAAAGCAAGAAAAAAATTAACACCAAATGTGTAAAAAAAAAACTAATACTGGCACAATATGGCGGTGCTATAAGCAACATGAAAGATCTACACGGCTGTAAACTGTCAGAGACAAAAACAACCCAAAAGGGAACACTTCCAACATTACAAGCTGCCAAAACATTCTTAATCATATGATGTAGACATTTTAAATTAAATACTTTAGTTCAGGCACAAAATAATTTTTCATTCAAGAATAGCTCTCTCTCCTCTTCCTCTTGTCATGACTAAACAAGGCAAAGCGCATCGACGTGCTCTTTCTACCCCCCCCACACACACCCCACTTGCAGGCTTTTGACTGTGTCAAACAAACTAAAGATGCCACTAATTCACAATTAGAGGTGAAGCCCCACCTCCCAGACTGGAAAGTTTAATCAATTCCATTATACACACATATAAACAGGGATACACAAATGGCAAAACATAAACATAAAACAATTACTAAAGGCACTGAAAGCATCCTACACTTAACACCTATAACTAAGAAGTATTATTAGATTTTATCAAGGAGCAGTAACAAATGCTGCTGTAGACTTATGTCTAGATTCATGCTTACCAAGGCAAATCCAGGTCAGACTCCTTCTCCTCTCCCCCAAACACTCACACACTCAAACCCTGTGGTAAATGCGTGCTATGCTGTATTACTCTCAAACACTTTCAATGTCATGTTTTCCAAACATGGTAACACCTACAAAACTATTTTAGACATTTGCTGTTTACATGCAAAAAAAGTTGGCTTCCAACTGAAGATACAGATTGAGCAAAGGCAAAAACACAGTTTATCCACTGAACTTCCTGTTTATTAATGAAGCAGGAAGTCGCAACACTATTATATACCATTGAATTAAATCCGAAAAACATTTTAATGGAAAATCTTACAAACCTAATTTTTCCTGCACAGAGCAGCAACAACAATTTGATATAACAGGAAATTGGGGTTTCTGTCAATGTTTTGAACTAGCTATTACATATCAAAGCTTCAGGCACTTATTTACAGGTCATGAGAAAGTGGTAATTCAATTACACTGCTTAACACAAGCTACACACATCTCTGAAAAGAACAGCTGTGCAACTGGTTTCTACATCCCTGCGTGTCACATATTTCCCACTGCCATGCACATCCATGATTTCACCTGGGAATGTAAACTTCATGGTTACAGATGTGGCTGCAAGATATTATAATCAACCAGCTACAGACTATATAAACATACAGTACACGGGAGATCCAATTGCGTAGATCTTTGAAGTACTAGCATGGAAAAATAATCATACAGTAAAATATAGGCCTAGAATAGAAATGGTGACAAATCCAGTGAATTGGTTTATGGTGAAATTAACGTGTAGTCTTTATATTCTTCACATGAGCTGATTTTTCCAGATTCAATATTTTCAGTGCAACTCCTAAGCCTGACCTGATCATTCACTATGCATGTGAAAGTGATCTTGAAACATGGTATTCACAGTGACTCTACAGTAACTCTCAATGAAGGCCACAAGCACTTCAACAATGCACACAACACACCCAAAAAAAACCTATGGCGTAACAAACATTTTTCTAAGCAGTTCCTAGTAACTGAAAACAAGGCGAGGTAACAAAAGCATAGCTGAATCCACATAGCTGGTGGTGCAGTTTTAAGCAGTGAAATAAAGCCCTGCTAACTGCTAACTATATTTAAAGCACATTTTCTTGGTAAGCAAAGAATGCCCACAGATGCATATAACCCCACTTGAAGAACAATGCAAGCACTGATATCAAAATGTTAATTGTACTCCTAACCCTAGATCCTCATGCTGATCTTCTACAATAGCCACATCTGAAGATACTCTTTACTGTCAGGACAAAACTGTATATTCAAAGCAAAATGACAGTCACAACACATCTTCTGGCACAATGGGAAGCAGCAGCAGCTGCGGATCTTTATTGGTGTGTGTGGCAGGAGGCAATGCCTACTGTAGTCTTGACAATTGCTGCCTGTAGCAATTTGGCTGCTCATTCACACTTGACTGTAAAAGTCAGACAAGGTGAGGGGAAAGACCCCTATATCAACAGCTGATTGTGTTGATGGTACAGTAAATACACTGGAAGAGAACCGCACCACAGACTAAATGTACAATGTATTTAAACTGCTTCCACCTTAAGTTCAATTTCATCTAGCTTTCATGAAAAAAAAAAAACTACAATCAATGTGACTCAATTATTACTCTACATCAGTTTTCATTACAGAAAAATAAAAACACTACATGTGGGTTAGAAGACTATTTTTGCCAGACCTGCTGTCTCAGAAAAATGAAAAGTGAAGCACTTCCATATCTGTTCACAGTTTCCTAAAGGTCACAACCTGCTCAACCTTTGTTTGCCTCCTACTGAAAACCTACACCCTATTGCTGTTTTGCTGGCAGTAGCCAAATTAACACTTTGTTAAAATATAATAACTTAAGAATGACAGCTTATTATAAAAAATGGTTTAAGTATCACATCAGAAATTGTATCTTTAATAATGTTACAAGTCTACAATATGAGCTTTTGCTGTGCGCACTCTCTTTTCCTGCACTTACATAATTAGTAACACACTAACAACATCAGTACCATCAGAGTTTAAATGCCTGATGTCTGGAAGCATAACAGTACGTGGAGCACATGGACAACAGGACATGGAGTCTCAAATATTTTATATTTTACACAGTAAAAAAAATAGCTAACAATAAATAATAATAATAATGGAGTGAATCATGTATACATTTTAAAGAGTTAATGTTAAAAGCTAAAACTTAAATTCAATTCATGATCCATTTTATTAAATAATGCCATCTTTCCAATACCATATATACTGA